GGATACCCTCAGCAACCCTCTCCCTTTCTTCTTTGTTTTGGCGGCCAGTAGGAAGGTAAGAATTGACTATGTAGATGCCTGAAGAGCATCTCTGGTTTGCCCCAGTGGTTGCGCAATTAACCCATAAAATGGTCGTTGATGCAGACACGTGGGACCACGGTTCTGGAATGTCAATTTTTTGACATTGGATATCGGACTTGATCAAAAAAGCTGTCCCACCATGCGTCTGACGGAAGCCATTCTTTTTGCCTATTGTAGGCTTGATTTCTGGCTGATGTCCAAAAACAATGTGCCATCCGTGTCGTGACAAATGCCCTGAAATGAAATCAGATTTGTCAGGGGGGATTCGGGTTTCCTGTAAAGCAACAACATGAACAGGTGACGGACAGAAATCAGAGATCCCGACGACAAAGGAAAGATTCTTAACTATAGAAGTGATGTTGAGAGACACAAGACCAAGAGGACCCTCTCCAGGATACCCAAGGCAAGGATAGAAAAGTAGAGACAAAGAGAACTGCACTCCAAGGGCCCAAACATGAAAGCAGGAGTGGAACACTTCATCAATTGAGTGATGCAAAACTTTCGAATTAGGTTCATGCACGAGCCTGCCTGGTCCAGGGCTCGAATAATTCAACTGTCCTGACTGCAAATTTCCATAGCGCAAACTAAAATGTATGCTTGGACTGCTTGGACTCACTATGGTCGCGCAGAAAGCCACTACCCGTAGGCCACGGCAAATGGAAGCTCTGCCACGGTACATGCGAAGGTTAAGAGGATTTCTAGTTGTTTTGCCATGAGTGCGAAGAACTTTTGAAAGTTTGCAAGGCAGAAGGTGAACCAACCAAGACAATGAAATGCAAACCACTGGAGAAAAAGCCAAACAAAGCTTTACCATGGCCATCACTAGCTCCATTAATTGGAGTGGATCTACGACTTCGCAACCACCCGCCAGCACTTCAACAATTTTTCTGCCAAAAGAAGGCAACCACAAAAAGGAGAAATGAACAAGGCATATCCTCATGCTTATGAGCCGGCAAGTGCTTCCACATCCCACTGACATCAGCTGCCCTTGCCGGTCAGCTTCTGTACTTTAGGGGGCGGAGATGGGATCGCAGGAGAGCTACTCTCATTCTTCAACTCCATGATGGCGTTCATGAGCTGGCTAAATCCTCGATCTTGGCTCTTCGCAATGTCATCCAACCGGGCAGATGTGTTCTTCTGCTCTGTCTTAACTGTCTCCAACTCATTGGTGACACGCGCTAGCTGCTGCTCAAGGCTATCAACTCGGCTGGAAATGTTCGCCGCGATCGGTGTCATCAAGCTTCCTTGTACTGGTTGCGACTTGCTTGGCTGGAAGGATCTGGGCACAGCTGGAAAAGCTGGGCTAGCTGAGGAGGATCCTTGAGAACTCTGTGGCGTAGAGGCCTGCGCTGTGGAAGTACTTTGGGAAATTGCACGGGGCCTTCTCACTGCCTCATCGATGTGCAGCGTAGCCACTGATGTCAAGATCCTCGGTGAGGGCGGCGCCGAGTCAGAGGCAACGAAGGCCACAGCCAAGTCTGACATGTGCAAGACTCGCTGCACAATGACATTCCACTTGGCTTGGCGAAGGGCTTCGTGGACTTGGTCGATGTGGATTCCGGCTGGGAAACCTTGAACTCGGAAATGTAACTTGCACTGCATGTGGATATTCTGCTCATTGAAGCGTGTGTCTCCAGGCATCCAGAATCTTCTTGCCTTGGCCAGGTGTTGTGGATGAACCCGTGCATACACTGAATGTTGGGAAGCAAAGACACCGAGGAAGCCTTCCAACTTGCCCTGAGAGGCCTGCTCAAAGACATCTTTAATCTTCAGGTCAGGCGCAGGAAGGCGGAGAATCTCTATTCCATCTTCTGCTGGGTCATAGGCAGTGCGCGCCGGACGAAATTGCACCGATGATCTACCAGACAATCGGTACAAATCATCCCGCGACTCTTCAGGAACTTGCAACTTCTTGGCCACATAGCCTGGTTTTTCCATGGTTTTGTGGAGCACCACCTGCTGGTCCTTTTCTAGTGACTTAATCACTTCCATCACATATGTATCAATGGCATGGCTGGATCCATAAGCGCGCCAGTCCTGTTCAGTGGCATCTGTTTGCCGGATTTCGCAAAACATAGTCATCTTTGGGTTTTGGTCGATCTGGATTTCCTGGTCACCCTCAGCTTTCTCAACGAAAAGGGAGGAATCAGAAGCCATATTGACGAGCGTACATGCCCTTGACTCATCTGATGTTTGCAACGGATCTCGAACTGAGATAATGCACTCCACAATTCTTCCAGGCTCAAACGCCAGGGCTTGGACTTTCTTCCTAGCATATCCCTTCACAATCAAGACAAGGGCTCCGTGACTTCGCAGGGAGGCCAGTTCTTTGACTGTGGCGATGTTGGCAAAGGAGAAGCCTTCGGAGTTCTGATGGAGACGATCGCAGGAAATCACTTCAAGATGGGAGCAAGGCTCACCACTTGCCATCTGAAATTCATCCAGCACAGCCAGTGACAAACCCGAGCGACCATTACGAGTTTCCCATGGGCTTCGATTGGAAGTTTGTCTCATCCCCCGAATGTTGGGGTGAAGTTGAAAGAATTGACGGCTTTGCAAACCAAAGAAATAAAGGGTAGTATGGGTGGATACCCCATGACAAAAAGACACTAAAATAAGCCACATAAGCCATGGTAGATGTTTGCTACAAACCACCCTTTGCATGTCCGCTCCGCCCCGTGAAGGCCTCTACCTAGGTGACCCTGAGGCCACGCCCCGGCCCCTTGCAGCCGGAACAGCTTAATAGGTAAACCATCTATTTCTATGGGCCATGGCTTCCATGGCGAACTGTTAATCAACCAGAGGGTATATACTGTATATCACTCTAAGCATGGAAAAAATCTTGGAATATAACGAGCCAAAATGGTGGTTGAATCGTCAAAACTAACATGGATTCTACCAGATACAATTGATGCAACGAAACAAACAATGGTGGCTTCATCCAAAAAACATATACCCCCTGGTAAATTAACATAGACCCTGAAAATCACCAATTTTTAATGGAAACTAGTCTTCCAAGCCCGATGACTGCCAGGGTCGAACTGTTATACCAGAGGGTAACTTAAACAGCCAACGTTGGGATTTTCTCATAAGAACAGGATCTAGTTCATGCTAAACCACTATAATAGCTGGTTGGTGGTATACCTACCCCTCTGAAAAATATGAAAGTCAGTTGGGATGATTATTCCCAATATATGGAAAAAATGTTTGAACCCACCAACCAGATTACATATATATATATATTAAATTATATATATATGCATACTTATATATATATATAAACATACATACATACGTATATATATATATAATTATATATATATATGGGTGGGTTATTGCAAATACAGTTACAATAGGTAATATTACCCACTATCTTGGATGTCAATCTCGCTACCAATATCAAGTAACTGCTAGGATGAGCTTTTTTTTGACCCAAGCTTCGCACATTTTTTTTTGAGAATGTGCGTTTTGGTTCCTTGGGTTTGACAAAACAGGGGACGATGAGAAGTTTACCATCTGGTTATTTGTTACATAGCGAACTGGAAAATCCCAACCATAAATGGAGGTTTCGTTCGCTGGGAAAATCGAATCTATTTCGATTGGGGCCATGGCTTTACCATGGCAAACTGTTAGTCATAACCAGATGGTACCAAGATTCCACCATGAGCTGCCACCATGGCGGTACAGCGATTCAGGATTAGTTTTTGGCTTGGCAGTCGCTGGTTGCAAAACTCAGAAAGTGGTTGCATAAATCATTGGGAATCACCAACAGATGTTGGGATATGATGGGGATAATCCATGAGGATATAATGTATGTTGATATAGCAATATGACATGTGGTTTTGTCTAATGGGGTATATCCCCAAATGGCCACTTTCGGCAAAAATGATCATAACATAAACTCTTGGATAATTCAATGGATTGGTTTAAGGGAAAATCTACAGGAAACCATGGTTTTTACCATGACATATAGGGGTTTCCTGTAAATTTTCCCGTCATCCAATTCTATGAATAATTATTGATATTTTATCAAAAGATATCATAAACCATTGATAAAATATCATTGAAAACCAGGTGCCTCCAAATATAAAATCCATAAACTATAACTATTCTGGTTGCTGGTATACCTACCCCTCTGAAAAATCATGGAGTTCGTCAGTTGGGATTATGACATTCCCAACTGAATGGAAAGTCATTCAAAATTCCATGGTTCCAGTCACCACCAACCAATATTTAAATGGGATTTTCTGGGATTAAAAAAAAAAAAACATGACTTTTTCATGGGATCAAATATGGGATCAAATAAACTATAACTATTGGATTATAGAGGTACAGCCAAATTTTCAAAGCCGTTTGAACTTCTGGCTGTTTCACGCCGGCGAGTCACCAATCACCACTGGGCAATCCCAAAATGGCAACTTCTGGTGTGGCCAAATGGGAGGTTCCATTGTGGGTATCCAAAAATGGTTGGTTTATTTCATGGAAAATCATGGAAAATCCATCTATAAATGGATGATAAATTGATAAATGGGGTACCCCCATGACCTAGGACACCTCCAAATGATGCCAAATGGATTTGTTTCAAAATAGGCTATCCCCGTTCTTTATTCGTCTTGGATGGCCTTGGATGGAAAAAGGACAACTACACATACGAAGTGAATGAAAAAAGTAGAATTTAGAGGAACTACAATGAACTAAAATGATCTATAAATGGTGGGTTTTCCATATCAAACAAACATAAAAAGTACCATCTGGCTATTTGACAGTTCGCCATGGAAAATCACTATGCTATTAATAGGTAAACCATCTATTTCTATGGGCCATCTATACCATGGCTATGTTAAATAACCAGAGGCTATTTGAAACCAGTCAATCTGGGGTAGAGACCGCCCGCTGAAAGTTTTCCAGTATCGAGGCACCATGGTCTCGCGCGTCTGACTGGACGTCTGACTGAGGGTACACTTGGCATAGTCGCGGAAGATCTTGTGGACCTTAAACTCCTGGCCCGGATGTCTTGGTTCAATTGATGGCTGGTACAAAATTTGGGTCTGGAAATGGGACCCATAGCCCCAATTATGGCTATTCAATGATTAACCTTACCAATGGATTTAGGCGTACACTATTTTCAGACAAAACCATGTCAATTGAGTACTGTCCAAAGCCCGCAGCGTCGTCCAAACAAATACTGGTTGGCTAATAATTGTGATAATCCCCGGATGTATATGTTGGTCAGTATTGGCCAGTAGAACCCCATATACTCATCAACCAGCAAGGCTTTTGAACACTGTGCTCAATTGAAGAGGTACCATCTTAATTTCAAAGTACCAAACCTGGGGAAGCAACATGGGGACATGAACTAGGGGGATACACCCATGGAACCATCCACAAAAATGGTGGCTTCTGAGGTTATGATTGGGCACAAACCACATGCTAAAATTAGCAGTTTCTTTTAGTTTCTTGTTACCAAAATTCGTGCTAATCCCCCTCAAATGTCCAGGTTTTTATTCATCCGCGGATGACATCCTTCACTCTCTGGACCTCTGGTTCCAACGGCCACGGCCAAAAAAAACTATCATTGGCAAATCATTCGGCCCCCAGACACCTCCAGATAAAAAAAAAAATCAGGTAACATGGGTCAAGTTCCCAGATTTCATGATTGGTTGAATTTCCACAACGGAACAAAAAAAACAATTGAGAGGTGGCTAAAGTTCAATGGATTTCCCAATGAGGATGAATTTTGGTTGATTCCCAATAGAAACGAACTTTGAAATAAATCATCAACATATTGTGTATATGATCTTATTATGAAATACTGATCGTTCTAAGTGAAATTCGAAATATTGTTAGGAAAGCAATAATAAACCATCCATATATAAGTTATATTGATGGCTTATACCACCAATATTTAAATAATTTTGGTGGCTTATACCACCCATCAAAATCGCAAACTTGGGTTTACTCTTGCTTTACTAACATTATTTTCCGCTGAATTTGGTGTGCCAACATTATTCACATGGCTTTACTATTGTTTTAATGTGTGTACAACAATAATAAACCATCCCCTGAATCACATTTTTTTATAGGTGGTATGTTTACCATTCCCAGTCATGGGTGGTTATTTTTATTGTTTTCCCCACATTAATGGGATAATGGGATTATAATGAGATATTAACGGAATATCAATGGGACAATAATGACAATTATTGTTTTACTAGCCATTGAAACCAAAAGGTGGGTTGGATTGCTAGGGGATTCCCACAACAAGGTTTTGGGCCACCAACATCATATCACTGGCCATCTCAGGAACCCATTGATTGGAGGTACCTACCATATATAAGGCCTAAATTTCAGGGAATATCCCGACAATTCATATGGCCAGAAATATGGTACTAACGTACCTCCATTTTAGGATCCTGAAATTCCCATTGATTATAAACCAACATCACTGGAGGATACTGGAAGATCACTAGGGTGGTAGTTGTAACCAACTATAGTTAGATGAGGTTATACAATGTTATACATGGGAATTTCGGGATCCTAAGATGATGCTTTCCGCCCAGAATTCGCTAATCATCCGCAGTTGCACGTGCGCGCCTGGCGATGCCGAAGTTCCAGCGGAAATCCACCCTCCGGGACCTCCGCGACTCCACTCAGTCGATTGCCATGCCTTGTGGGGTCACATGGGAGGAGGATGGATGGTACAAATATATCGTATATATAGATAGATAATATAATATTATACACAATCAAATCCATTACATATACGCATACATCTATATACATGAACAGGATATGGCATTCAAGTGTTTTTTTGAACCATGGTTGTCGTTCAAGGGGATTTTGAATGGTTTGAACCATAGTTGGGAGCCAAAAAATTGTCAAATCGGAGAACAATGAGTAATGATATGTATATAGGGGCACAAATAGATCGTATTGGGATATATTCGGAGCTAACCCATGATAACCCTATCTAATATATATACATATATTATATATATATATTATATGCGTATATGTATCTATCTATCTGTATATATATATATATATATTCCTATATTACATCCCAAATATAAAGATTGGGATATATTGGAAAATCACGAGGACAACGAATTACATCAGTGACACATTGAGGGTGTATCCAACAAGACGGGAATCAAAGAAGAACATTTCAGAGTTGCGCTCCTGAAACGGACAATCAAATGAGATAGATTTCCTCTGGGCCTGTGGGCGTGACTTGCAAATCGAGTACCTTCCCGTAGCAACTTGTTACCAGTTGGTGTGTATCTCTGCGATTTACTGATTGGTGGTGCAATAACCATCTTGAAAAATATGAGTTCGTCAATGGGTTTCGGATGATCCCATATATTTTGGAAAATAATCCAGTCATGTTCCAAACCACCAACCAGTATATATTGTCATTCCAATGATTAACCTTTATGAAAACCATAGATTAACCATAGATTATTCCAGGGGTTTAAATACTATTGGGAGTTGATAGTAGTTGAGTTGACCAATCTCCATCTTTCTGGGGGTTGATAGTACTACTCACTGAGAAACCGCTGGTTGCTCTAACAGTTAAGCTGTTGGTCACATTCTTCGATATCTTGATGAAAATCACAGCAAAATGTCCGTTTCATCCCTGACTTGGTGTTTTTTGGGTGTTTGTGGCAACCATAAGAAGAAACCATATATCCGACTCAACTAAATCAACTAATTAGTAAAAACTGTGATCTGTACATCTTTGTAAACCTTTAAAACAAAAACTCTGGTAAAACCAATAGATCCGAATTATTTTACAATATTTTACCATGTTTACCCTCTGGTAAACAATGAAAAAACTATGGAAAATCACCATTTTCATGGGTAGATCCACTATTTCTATGGCCTCAATAGCTATTTTGACATAACCAGAGGGTACCAACCGGAAAGTATCAGCCCCTGGAGCGCACCTGTCGTAGAACTCGTAGTTTTCCGCCTTCCTGCCCCGCAGCAACACGTCCCGCGTGCTGCGCCAGTGCTCTGAAAAAGGAATCTCTGCAATGACCTGGGAAGGGAAGTTCGGTTGGGATCATCCCACCCCCAAAAAACATGGAGAACTACAGTATAAATATGTATATAAATATATATATATATAAATGTATATCTATATACTATGTATGTATATATATATATAATGTAGATACTTACAGGGACTTACAGTGCATAATTGGTTAGGAGAAATACGACTTTTATGGTGAAAATCATTGAAAACAAACCATGGTGATGAGTGATAGTGATATCTTTGATACATTTTGATACTACGACTTAATCAATGGTGTTTTTGTATGTTTTTGTATGTTTTTGTGATGAAAGTGATGAAAGTGATGAAAGTGATGAACAACACACATATGGTGGGAATGATTTGGATGTGTTTTGATGATCATCCAGGACCCCTCTGGCGATCTTCCGCTCCAACAGATCCCTCCGCGCCACGGCCACACGAAAGGACCCAAGGAGCAGGGCGTTTTTCCAATTGGCACAGGAGCCTCCCAGGACCCGAGACGACCCGATTAATGATCATCCCATAGGAAAATCCATTGGAAAAGATAGGGATATCACAAAGTGTAACCATGAGAATAATTCGGAATAGTGATATATATATATATATAGTATATATATATAATATAATAATATTATAATTATAATATAGATATATAATATAAAATAATATAATAATATAATATTATATATATAACAGAATATCCTGCAATTAATGGGAATAATGACCAAAAAATGTGGATATCATGACATGACAGAACTATGATAGTCAATAAGGACTTGACTATGAAATTTCTGCACATGGTGGATAGTCATGGATAGGGATGATAATGGGAAGAAATCCAGCCACTTAACATTAAACCCCCAAAAAGGTCCCAAATATGTGTAAATGCCTGACTAAACCATGCTTATATCCTCTGGGAAATTGGGCATCCTCTGCAATTTAACATCGCTATGGAAACTCACAATGCAAGTCATGTATGAATGGATGATTTTCCATTGGAAAATTGCAGAATATTGCAAGTAACCGGAAGTAAGCGCGTGTTTGGATGCGGGCTCAGAATATTGCAAGTTATGCAAACTTCATTCAAGTTCGGGATTCCTGAAAACATCAAATTCACAAATATATCAAAAATCATCAAAAATAATTATATCTAATTGTGTTGATCATATTCAAATTATTCAAGTTCTAAAGTTGACAAGCACCCAATATATATATATATATGTATACATATTGTATATAAACAATTATAAACATATATTATGATTATATTTTTTGTGTAATTATATATATATAGATATGTATGTGTGTATACATGATATCTCTGGGCCCTTTTGCAGTTCCCCACCTGGGGATCAACGTGCTGAGGAGCCGTCGGAAGGCTCCTTTGAAGTCCAGCAGCACACAGACCTCGACACGGGGATGACCTGTTTTCCGAAGCCAGTTGACCCGCTTGACCCGAAAAAATTGAACGGGGTATATGGATTATATATGGAATATATATGGATTATATGGGGATTATATATGGATTTGATTAGATATGGATTATATGGATTATATGGATAATATATGGATTATCTATATATCTAATTATACATGGAATTTGGTATTGTAATCTGGTTGGTGGTTGAGCCTACCCCTCTGACAAATGATGGAGTCCGTCAGTTGGGATGATGATTATTCCCAACTGAATGGAAAACTCCATTAAAATCCTCAAAAATTCAGTAAACCACTACAATCCATTAATCCCAACTGAATGGAAAGTCATAAAAGCCATGTTCCAAACCACCAACCAGTAATGTGTTCGATGATTTTTGCATGACCAATGTGGGTCTTGACAGTCCAATTTTTCTAAGATTTTTGTGGGTAGTACAATCGCATATAATCACCAACCAACCATCAGTTATATAGAATAATCACCATATGATACCAACCATCAAATATAATATAGTATATCAATATCATCTGTATACTATACTTGTTATCCATATAGTTTGATGGTTAAACCATGTTTAAACCGCTATCAACTGACTAGAATCATCAACCAACAATGGTTCTGAAAAATGCTCTCCTTACCAGGAGCCTGCCAGTTGTAAGCTTAACATAGGAACACAAGTGGAAGTTATTGGCCAAGAAAGACTAGAGTGATTCATGGCATTTTCCTTGGGCGATTACCCGGCCTGGTAAACGTTTACATAACGAACTGGAAAATCCACCCATTCTTTATGGGTAAATCAACTATTTCTAATTCTATGGCCATGGCTTCAATAGCTATCTATGTATGTTTACCAACTAACATCAACGAACATAGCGAACTGGAAGCCATGGCCCAGTCGAAATCGTGGAAAAATCCCCATGAAAAATGGTGGCGATCTGTCCATCGTTTTGGACGATGTATGTCTATGGGACCAGGCCAAGTCCTGTGCCATAGAAGGGGTTGCTACTGATCTGGTTGCTATATGGATTATATAGGGATTATATGGGGATTATATATGGATTATATATATATATAACTATAATATAACTATAATATAACTATATATATGGAATAAGCTCTGGTTGGTGGTTGAGCCTACCCCTCTGAAAAATGATGGAGTTTTCACGTCAGTTGGGATGATGACATTCCCAACTTTTCATGGAAAGTCATAATCCAGCCATGTTCCAGTCACCACCAAGCAGTAATGTTTTCGTCATTGTACATGCACTTCATTCTGGCCCAATTTATCGATCAAATCCATGAGATTCCATCATAAATTCACAGCTTTGTTGATGACCCAAACGACAATGTTTGGTCGGTGATTTTCTGAATGGTGAATGGTCAGTGTGAAAAAATCGCCAAGCTGCTGGAGCATCCAAAGGGATCATCTTCCTCAGTTCGGATCCTTCTGATGTGCTTCAACTATGTTAAAATGTGTTTAACAAAAATTAAAATATGCAAAATATATATATATATATTAAAATACCTATGTTAGTGTATAATAAGCCATGTTTCTTCGTGCTGTCCTTATGCGGCCTATCCCTTTGCACGTGGGAATCCTCACTTTGGTGGCGTGGTTTCCTCATTTAAGTTGGTGTCCCAACTCAACGGCTTCTCACTGGAAAGGATGCCCATGCATCTTCACCCATTCTTGTATAATGTGTGATAAATAGTGGTGGAAAACACCAATTTATAGATGAGCTTCCAATTGAAATGTGACGAAATATGGCTGATGTTCCATTTAAATCCCATTTAATCCTCCACACTAATTCAAGATGTCATTCGAGTTTTTGTGAAGATCCCAATTTGAGCCCTTTAAATCTCAATTTACAGATGATTACACTGCTGTTTTTAACGGCTGCACCAAGCATCTCCGGTCGTCTTGGCAACAAACTGGGCACCCGCCAACCATCCTCACCCTGGCCCGACTCAGCAAGGCTCCCATATTTCTTGGTGAACCAAAGAAAAACATGGGTATTACTATTTATAATGGTGATTTACCCATTAATAATGGTGATTTACCCATTAATAATGGTGATTTACCCATTAATAATGGTGATTTATATGGATTATATGGATTATATATATATGTATATATAGCTGGTTGGTGGTGCCCCATAATTAGTTAGCTAAGTTGGTGCAAATAAATCCAATAACTATGGGAAAAATGGTGGATATATCTATAGTTAATGGGATTATAACAAATTTTATATGGAATATATCTGCATGGTTGGTGGTTTCAACCCTCTGAAAAATATGAGTTCGTCAGTTGGGATGATTATTCCCAATATATATATATACATATGGAAAAATAAACATGTTCCAAACCACAAATCAGATATAGGAAACCACCCCAAAAAGAAGAAAAAACTAAGGTTTATGCTACTTATGATCAGTGTAGTTCATGGGGTTTAACCAACTAATCACCTGATAGTAAACCACAAAAAGATAGAAACCGCATTTACCACGATTTTAGTGGGAATTTACTTGTTTATCCTTTTTGGGGCTGCTACAATCCTTCTGAAATAGTGATAATGTCCTTTCACAACGACCCCTTCAAGGCAGAAAAGTAGTTTATCCAATCCTGAAATATTGATCAAATGAGCCTTTTCATGCATCTGTTTCCGCTTTGCTCTCCATGCTGACAGAACACATTAATTATTATAAGTTGTATCAACTTGGATCATAAGGAACAATCTAAATTGGATACCACCTGGTTATTTAACATAGCCGTGGAAAATCAGCATCTTTAATAGGTGAACCATCTATAAATGGGCCACTATAAATGGGCCATTTTCCATGGCTATGTTAAATAAAGGGTAAATGAAGAGGTAAAACAACAAAATGTCCAGCACGCCTGCCGAGCATTCACCTGTACTAGGTGGCAAACACGCGTAAGTGGTTCCAACATCCAGAAAATGAGTCATTTGATGCAACAGAATGGGGATATCGACCAACAAGAATGCAGCTGCAACCAAGAAAAAACAAACTGTTTCCAAGTTTCTATTCTACACCCAGAAAATGCGGAATCAATCAGAGATACAATGATAGCAGAGTAGAAATTCAAAAAAACTCAGATATTAACTAACACCAACTGGCAAAACGGTACATATGGTATAATACATATTCATATTCACTGGTTTGCTTTCATCCTAGCCGTCCTAGTGATAGGTCTCAACCAACGACTCATGTCGTTGACAATGCACACCTTCGGGATCAGCAAGTCGAAATGTTCCAAGAATGATTGCCTTAGGCAACCGGAAAATGCGGAGTCGAAAAGTATATCAAAACCATCCTCGACAAAAGCGAGAAAAACACGGTAAAGTCATACCAGGCACTCTTTCAAAAATCAGCTGTTTACAAACGATGTTCGACTTCTACGCCCATGCATGGCCAAAAGGTGTTTCTGGGGGTTGTTCTAGTTGTGTGATGCCTCATGTATAGGACTGCAACGTGTCTTGATGTGTCTTGTGCACCCCGGTTCAAATATGCAGGCCACCGACAGAACCTGGGTCGTCTTAACATCACCCAAACTTGGCATCATCATAATCATCCAAATCTTCACAAAACAAAAAGACGTTCATGACCAACATGCACAGCATGTTGGACAGCAAATCTACGACAAGTTAAAAACTCGAAGATGTCCCACTGTCCCTTCCTCTTAGTTGGGTTTGGTGGCCCAGTGAATCCCATTAACCTGTGAAGCCAGGAGGCAGAACTCTCTGCTGCCCTTGAAATTTGGGATCTCTCCACAGAACCTGTGAAAAGCTAAGCTGGGATCGATTTTTTTCGGAGAAATCTGGGTAAAATGATGTAAAATGACAAGGGAAGCTGGTGACTGGGTCAGCACCCCTGCAGTTTTTGTAGGGATGTTACATACCCCTGGTGTATTAAGGGCCCATATACTTGGGAAGGGCTGGTCGAGTTTTCATGATGTTCTCATTGACATTACCATTTTGGGTGGTATATCCCATTTTCAGGCGCACAGGATGGACATAGTTTCTGAGCAGCTACTAGATCCTGGTATGTATGTCCAATTTATGTGTATATAATATAGTATATATGAACTTATAAGATATAATATGCCTATATATAATATAATATATATATACATATTTCATCATCAATTTCCTCCCCATAATATCCAAAGTTTGTCCCAAAAAAAAACACAAATCCCGCTTAAATCCACATCAGAAATCCCATTACAGTAGGGGTTAGGTTAGTTATATCCATTCATATCCCATATCATCTCATTCTACAGGTTTGTATCCCACGATATTCATTTTCCCATTGTATCCCGGTTACCTTTATTTATATCCCATTCATATCAGATAAAAATAAGGTATACCTGTGAAATCAAAATAAACCATCCTTAATTTTACCAGAAATGGGTTGTAAAAACCATGCCCAAATGGGAGGTGTTTGGCATTGCGGCATTGCGGTTACTACATTGCACCCATGACATCTCTCATTGTATCCATGGAATCATTGGCTACAGTACTCATTCTATCCCCCATTCAATTATGCGTTACTTACTCACAACATCACCTTGTATATCCCCATGGGTAAGGTTATGTATCCCAAAAAATATCACCCCTAACATCATTTTATATCCCATTACCCGCAATATATCCATGGAAAAAACCATTGCATAGCCCGCTATGTCCCATCCCCATCTGATTCCCATAATATCAACATCCCATCTGAATCTGTATTAAATCCGATTCATATGGAGGTTTCTCAAAGAAAAGTTACCTCAAACCATTGGTTTTTCCATTATATGGAGGTTTCCTGAAATGGGGGGTACCACCAAATCATCCATTTATGGGATTTTCCGTTGTAAACCATCCATTTTTGGGGATATCCATATATATATATATATATATGTATGTATCCCTCATTTATGGTAATAACCAATTATATATCCCTCATTTGGGGATATCCCTCATATATATCCATATATATATATAGATATCCATATGTTGGTATACAGTAACCAATCATAATAACCAAAATTTTGGGTGATTTTTGGGGTTCCCCGCCTCCAAAAGGTCCTTCTGCAGAAGTCCTTCCTGTCGCAAAGCCTTGGAGCGAAAAGGATCCGTCTTCAACACCGCCGGGCACGCCATCACCTGACGCGATGACTCAATGCAAAAAAGGGAAAAAACGTTGGGATAAAAATGGATAAAATGGGGTAAAAAATATTGTTGGTAATACTGTTGGTACCCAAGTTTGACATTGCTAGGTTGGTAGTCACAATTTTTGTAGTGTAGACAAATTTAGTTGTTGGTGCTTATAGGTCAATGGGTGGTAAACCAATGTATAACTAGGGCGCTCACTTTGTACAAAAGGGGATATAGGTCAAAGATGGTCAAAGGCTATAAACAAATCTGCCCCCACCGAAGTGCCGGAACGTGGGCGACAAACAAATGTAACGGTTGTAACGCAGATCCCAATGGTGACCACGTACCAAAAGAAGTAAGTAAACACTCGATTGTTTGGGCCATTTCATGCCATTTCAACAAATCTTTACAGGTCTGTTGAAGAGGTGTGCATGCAACAATGGATGGACGCTTGGTGAGTCAACCCCATGCTGCTTTGGGACATGCCGAGCACCTAGCTAACCGTGATCTACTCAATATGGAGGCAACGCACGCGCGCCAGGCGTGCTTTGGTTTCTTTGATACGACCCACTTCAGCATCATTCAACTTTCGGTTGGTCAGAGGTGTCAAATGACGACACAGAATGCGAGCGTCAGTCTTTATCAGAGGCTCAATGCCGGCAGCAACGAGTTTCTTTCTGCCAGCAGCTCTATACTATGTTTCACGCCTTACCTGTTTTGCAACTTCATTCCCAGCCAACGGGGCAATAGGGCCGAGTTTGGCCCAAGTAGGCTTCGGTTGGGCCCGAGTATGCCCATGTTCAGCCCGCATCCCCGGCTACCAGACCATACTCCTCAACTTCGAAAAACATTTCCCCTAATGACAACGTGGTGTGGGCGGTGTTTGTCACGGAGCAACATGAATAATCTGTATATATACATATAATAATCACATATATGTGCATGTGTGCACATATATATATATATATTATATACATATACATATATGTATATATAAGTATATTCAGCATTATGGGGCTACAAAGTAAGTATGTTATAAGGAAATGGGGTTGTAACCAACATCGCATTTGGCGGTTCTTAATTTGGTTTAAAGGCTAGACTGGTGATTTAATGGGGATATCAACGGTGATAGAAAATGGATAAAATGAACAGTGATCTAATGGTAAACATGAATAGAATGGGATAGAGCCGAGATGTAATGAATATGGGTCAAATTAATGTGGTGCAAATAGAACCACATATGGAGAAAACCACTTGAAATCTTCGCGACACCCACCCTGACTTTTTTGGTTTTCAAGGGTCCTTTGTTGCAAAGGATAACAGCACAGGATCAGGGTTTCAAAATGGCTACCCATAATTCACATTTTGAGGTTGCCCTCACAAATGGTCAAAATTTGGTTCTTGCAGAAGTTGGATCGTTTCGTAGCATACCTGTACTTCGAGTACTTTTCTACCCATCTCCGTTCCTCAGAGGAATGGTGGATTTTGGATTTCCCCAATGTGGTTGGCTATAAACATCCAAGATGAATACAGTATTTCAATGGATTGGTTTAAGGGAAAATCTACACCGGAAACCAGAGTTATTTTCCCATTAAAATCATGAGGCTTTCCGATTAAAACTTTCCCTTCAACCAAATCCATTGAGTATTAACTTCATTAGTTTATCTTTTGAGCCTTGGTGACTGCCAGTCATAATTTTCGTGCTGTCTGCCTAGTCGCATTTGGCGAAAATATCACGAGGCTCTAGTTGTTTTAAGGGAAAATCTATAGGAAACCAAAGCTATTTTCCCATGAAATATGTGGTTTTCCTAAGTTTTCCTGTTTCAATTTACCAAAAAAAAACAATCCATGGATGGTTTCAGTCTACTGAAACAGTATCTCCCCATCCTTTGTCGGCTACTAAAAAGGATGCCCCAATTGCCATTTTGGGGTATCCCGTAACTTTTTGAACATATGGAGCTTTCCTAAGGTATGAGGTATCCCAATAGCTGGATGGTTTATAATGGAAAATCCCCTCTATAAGTGGATGATTTGCATATAGACGTCTAACACATTCAGTGAACAACTAATTGGTAAAGCCAACACTTAGTGGCTCACAACACTTCGAAAGAAGGCACCCGTGGCACTAGCTATGGGTAGCTATGGGATCCATGGGTAAGTAAAATTCGTCCGCGTCGGTTATATTACAAGTTATAACAGGGGTTGGTAACTGTCCCATTTTGGGAATATTGGACATCACCTTATAGTAGCCATTATAGACCATATACCTAATGGTTGGGTGATGTTCAATGGGGACATTTAATGACCCATGTATAATCCATTTGTAAAAAGGAAAAAACAAACTGCAGCTGGTTGGTAGTTGAGCCTACCCCTCTGAAAAATCATGGAGTTCGTCAGTTGGGATCATGACATTCCCAACTGAATGGAAAGTCATTCAAAATTCCATGGTTCCAAACATTTCCAGTCACCACCAACCAGACAGTAATCCCTTCCACCTAGAAATCATGGGCGGCGGAAGTAGGTTTTTTGTCACATATTTTGGAACCATTGAGGAGATATTTAATAGAGGGATGGTATTACAGAAATTATACCCTCTGGTAAACATACAAAAAGCTATTGAAAGTTGCCATAGAAATAGTGGATTTACCCATTAAAAATGGTGGATCTTTCCATAGTTACGTTAGTTTACCAGAGGGTAACTTCCAACATCTTCCTACATCTCAGCAGGGTTCCATCGTTTATCAGATATATCCACTTATATAACCACTTATATCCCCCATAGTTTGATGGTTAAAACTTTATTAAATCACCATCAATTCATCCATCAATTCATATGAAACACATATCATATACCCTCTGGTGAACTAACATAGCTATGGAAAGATCCACCATTTTTCATGGGAAAATCCACTATAAAATAGCCATTTTCCATTGCTATGTTAGTTCACCAGAGGGTATCTTCTGATGCTGAAAAAACCTCAGTATATAATGCCCTCCAGTCATCAAACATGGTGGATTTTCCAGCCGTTAAATTCATGGTTTCTAAATATAAAAAAAATACCAGAGGGTCACCATCATGAGACTGATTACCAGGTTACCACTTGGGCTTTTATTTGAAAAAGTTTTTATTTTTTTCAACCCAACTTTTTGAATTTTACCAGAGGGACCACCAAAAAAGTCTCCAAAGAAATCATCCACCCAACTGATCCACTGGCGCCTGTGCCATCGCATCTAGGAGCCACTGGGGTGTCAAGACCACCGCAGGAGATCCCTGACGAACGAAAGAATTGTGAGTCCACGATCAAAACTCATCAAAACTGATGAGTGTAACATGGTGATTTAAGTTTTTAATGATTAGTTTCAAAATTCAACTGTTTTAAGTTTTTCAAAACTAATGAGTTTCACAATCAACTGATGAGTTTGATGTAAGTGTAACTAGCCAACATGGTGATGTATGAAAAAACCAACCTTAAAAAAAGAAACCCAACACTTGGATTAATTTGGATTTAACTCAAAAATAAGGATATGATGTTGTGAGAAAATGGCGGAGACCTCATAATTTTGACGGGGAACATGCTGATAATCAGACGATTTTTTAGGATCTCTCCCTCTTTTCAAGAACAAAATTGGCATTATTTCATAGGATATTAACACTACTGTGGCCGATGACCTTTCTGTAGATTCTTCAAATAAAAAAACAGCATTCTTATGGTGAATTCAGGGCACTTTTTTGAAAAAATACACATCATTTTTAGGGGTGGTCTCGATTGCTGAACGTTACCCTCTGGTAAACGTTTACATAGCTATGGAAAGATCCACCATTTTTAATGGGTAAATCAACTATTTCTATGGCCATTTCCAATAGCTACGTTAAATTACCAGAGGCTAAATCTTGGTTTGATAATTGCTGTATTGGTTCATCTGGCATTCTTTCATAGGATATTAACATATATTAACACTACGTTAGGAGTTGTCTAAAAAAATGGATCTTATATGATCTCATCATTTTCTCCATGATGACTGATGGCCGAAAAGTATCCCCTTCATTCAGGACGGTCAAAATGACAACCGCACCATGAAATACCGGGTAGCCTCTGGCAAACATACAAAAAACATCAAAAAACCTATGGAATATCATGGGAATATGGTGGGAATATCATGGGAATATCATGGGAATAAGGGATACCCTCTGGTAAACATACAAAAAACGATGGAACATTACCATTTTGTAGCTGAGTAAATCAAGTATTTCTATGAACATGTTCAATAGCTATGTAAACGTTTACAAGAGGGTAGCCTTTTAGCCCATGGGGACTGCTCGCATCCCCCTTGTTGATCTGGTTTTTCGTGCTGGCCTTGAAGTATAGCAGCTGCCCCAAGCGATGGAAAAGTCCTGCGAACTTCGGCCGTGAAGCGACCGAAATTGCGGAAAAAAAAAGTACATGCTGCTGGGTACTTCCCAAAAAATCAGGTCCATCCGGAAAAGTTCCCGATATTTTTCCTTATCCATGAACATCATATGAACCAATTTGGAAGTTCCATAACAATTCCTGGTAAGCTCCCTAACTCACCACGTTGACATAATAAAAATATATAAAAATCCATCATATAATCCCTCAAGTTGGATGAATCACCATTTTATTTGGGGTAAAATAAATCCCGAAATTTTGCTGTTGAAGTCCCATCATTTTTGGATGCTTCAATCATGTGAAATCCAACGATTTTTCATAGTAAAATCATCAAGTTTTGGATGATTGGTGTATTAATCCTATAAAACTTGATTATTTTTCCTATAAAATCCTATAAAATCCTCTTAAAATCTCTTAAATCCCATAAAATCCACCATTTTGATGATTTGTTCACATAAAATCCTCATTTCGAAAGGATTTCTTCATATTTGGTTGGTGAAATCCCCATTTTTCCCGCCAAAAATGGCCCGTTTCGGCCTAGGAAGAGCTCCAGCTGCTGGCCATCCATGTCCAACTCCGCCGCCAAGGTGCGGCAGCGATCCAGGGCGATGCAGGGCTCATGGAGGCCTCGCTGGGAAGATCTGGAAAAAACTGTGAATTTCTATGACAAATCTGGGAAATTCTGGGAAACATCCGGGAAAAATTAGTTGGAAAATCTGAGAAAATCTGGACATTTGACAAACAATCTTGAAACATCTAGGAAAAATCGGAAAAAAACACCTGTTTGCAAAGCCATCCAATACTGATCCAACTAAAATAAGGGTATTGCCCACTCATGAGAAATGGTTCAAATCAACCATTTTGTGCTCAAGTAATCTTGAAACATTGAAACCTTTACAAGAGTATCGTCAATTGTGGGTCAAAATTCTCAATTTCTTTGAGCCGATCCCAAGCATTTCCGTTTTTTTCTCCTCAGTGGCACAGTTGGTGAGGACTGAACGGAAAACCCTTGGTTTTTGAGCCATCAGAAACTTCTCCCCCGTTTTTTCGAAAATCTCTGGTGAAATCGGTGAATTTGTTTGGGTCGTGAAAACTTGGTGCAATCAATTTTTTTATTGTGGTATAATAGTGTGGTGAAATTTTCGAAAATCAAACAACTGGAAAAAAATGGTAGTATGTGGTTAATTGTGTGTGTGTTTAATTCTGGTATAATCGTGGTTAAACTAGAAAAAAACTGGATTTCATCAACAAACAAAAGATCATCTGTTTCAATCTCAAGAATTGAAAATCAAGCGCCAAAACTAGGGACTGTACCAACACGAAGGGTTACCCTCCAGTAAACCAACATAGCAATGGACAAGCCGCAATTATAGATGTTTTACCTCCTAAGAATGGTGATTTTCCATACCCTCCGGTAGTCAAACAGAGCGGGAAATTCCCTCAAAATGGAAGTTTTAATGGAAAATTATGGAAAATCCTCTCCAAATGGTTAATTTTCAATTTGTCAAGTGCTGTCTTTCTTTGGACACCAGAGGGTGTGTTAGTTTTTGTTGAGTTTTCCAGACAGTAAAATTCGATGGTGAGTTTCCCACAAAAAAAAATCACCATGAAAATCACCATTATTCACCGGGTGATTGGTGATCATTAACCATTCATCATCCATGAAAAACACCATTATTCACCATGAATAACTGACAACTATTCACCACTATTCATGAAATATCATCCATTCATCATCCATTCGTCATCCCTTTATTCACCATGAACAATCATTATCATCATTATTCAGAATTATTCACCATTCACCAGGTGATTGGTGATTATTAACCATTCATCATCCATGAAAAACACCATTATTCACCATGAATAACTCACCATTACTCACCATTATTCACCATTAATCACCAAATACCATCCATTCATCATCCTTTCATCATCCATCTTTGACCATGAACAATCATTATCATCAATCTCACCATTGGATGTATCACTCCTATAAACTAGTTAAGATCATCCATCAATCATCCATCAACGACCATCAATCCATCATTATTAATCCATCAATCACCATTTGTTGTTGGTTTTCATTAGACACCATTCATCCATCAGTATTATTCTTCACTATTCATCATCCATCCATCCATTCATCATCCATGATTCATCCGTTTTTCACCATGAATAATCATTATCATCATTATTCACCATTATTCACCATTATTCACCAGGTGATTGCTGATTATTAACCATTCATCATCCATGAAAATCACCATTTTTGGCCATGAATAACTCACCAATTATTCACCATTAATCATCAAATATCATCCATCATCATCCATTATTACCATGTATTCACCATAAATAAACCACATATTCACCATGAATCTCACCATTATTAACCATTATTAACCACCTTCCAGGCCGCAGAAACTGCTCAGCCCACCTTCCAGGCGGTGGAAGAAATGCGCCCAGCGCGTGGGGATCGTCCCCAGCTCCTGGGCCACCTTCGAGGCCAAGGCGCTCACCTCCTCGGGTTTCAGCGTTCGGTAAAAAGTTACGAAACATGGGGAGGTTTAAAGGAATATCATAGGAATATAAAGGATATATATATATATATGGGATATTTAAAGGACTTTTTTTTAAAACCATATATATATATAATCTTTAAATATATATATATATACCCGCACTCTTTGTTTCGCCGTCGCAAAAAAAAAAATGTCATTTTCGAAACTTGCATTTCGTGTGGGTGAAGCGCGTTTTTCCCCTTTTTATTCCTTTTAACTTGTGGCCAGCAACGAAGTTGAGCACGTGCATTCTGCGTGGCAGGCGCGGTGTTTTGCGATGGTTGTAAAAAATATGTTTTTTTAAAAAAAATGTGTTCATTTTTGCTGGCAGGCGCGCGGGATTCTCGCATTTTTTGATGTGTTGAAGTGTGTTTTTTTCATGTTGTTTCTGTCTTTTATCCTGGTTCATGGTTGTGCGTATTTTTTCTTCATTGAACGGCACGTTTATTTTGTGTGGCAGGCGCAGTGCTTTGCGATGGTTGAAAAAGTGACAGTTTCATTTTTGCTGGCAGGCGCACGGGATTTTTGCGTTTGTTGATGTATCGAAAGTGTGAGTTTTCATTTTGTTTTTTGTGTGGTGGTTCATGTCTTTCCTTATTTTTCTTTCAATAAAAGGTTAATTGTTCTTTTCAATTGTTTCAGCGTGACACGTCTTTTTTTGTATCTGTTATATATGTTCCCTTTTTTGTTCTCTTTTGCGGGGGGTTGGCGGGGTGGGGTGGCGATAGCAACGTTCTCCCCGCGCCTATCATGCTACGCTACATGTACGCGCGCTAGACCTTTCCCCCTTTTTACATGAAGCCTGCGCCGCAGGGCACGACTTTAAAAAAACCGTGTCGGTCAAAAGGGGTCACGTTTTTTTTTAGAAATCAAGAAAAACATGCGTGTCATTGCCGTATCGTGTCGGTCGGTAGAGGGTGTCCAATACGCACCTCTCAGAAACGTGTCGGGTGCTGTTTGGACAACCCCTGCGCGTGTCATTTCGTGTCGATTTTGACTAGTTTGTTTAAAATTCACATGACAAAATCGAAGAATATGAATATTTTACATATGATAAAATATTGTAAAATATTCACATGTCGCATGAATATTTTACATCTGACACGAAATGACACACATGTAGTTCTTCTCGCCAAAAATGAAGTCAGGTGCACCACAGATGCCACGCGGGTAGGATTGGAAGATTTCGGGTTGGAACTAGTTATTTTCTAGTGTGCCATCTCCATGAACGCTAAGGGGTGTCCATTAGGCACCCCTTAAGAATCTCAATTTGTGAAATTCATTAGGCACCCCTTTGAACGTGCTGGTATGTATATGTATCTAACAAAATCTAGTTATATGGTGTGTCTTTAGGACAAAATTCGTGATTGGGATGGGGGTTGAAGCGATCATCACCAACAGGGGATGAATCTTTATCAGCTTCATAAGGGTTCCCTGTATCTTTTCTCCTCAACAAAGTCGCAGATTGTTTTGTTTGAAGCAAAAGAAAACTTGAAGGACACTACAAGAATGGGAATTACAATACATAGCTACCCTACAAGAAATGGAAGTTTAACCACACCAACAAGTATGTGTATATAAAACACATATATATATATTATATATAGTAATAATATATATATATATATTATGACTATAATGTCTGTATATATTTATACATATTTATATGAATTTTATATGATTATCAGATGTAGATTACGTAGATATAGATGAAAGATGATGAAAGCATCTCCAATAGCCAAGGGAATGCGTACACAAATCGGCTGGTTCCGCAAAATCGACATCAGCTAAGACACTCGTCGAAGATGTTGGATGCTTCGAAGGCTCTCCGGCGTATTTTGCTGATTGTCCACAGGAAAGAACAGCAGCCCATCTTCTTGATTCCTGTGGCGCAGTTGCTGCTATCCTTAAAACCATGGCCGTATGGGACAAAATGACAAAATCCTCCATCGAGGCAAGAGATTGTCCATAAGTCATAGTGGTGATGTTTCATTTCTGGCTACCGGAGTCTTGCTTTTCGAAAATTGAGAACGGAACATTTTTTGGAAGCATGAACAATACTGTAGCCGGATCCACATTCAAATTCGTTACTGGATATACGAATACCAAGTTACTTCACAGTCACCCATAAACATCCATAAACATCGGTAAATTCTTGGGAAAATCACCAATCGACAAAGATCCAACGCACAAAGTTCAACTACGGCGGCTCCAGCATTTCTTTAAAATATACTGCAGCATGCATTCATCTGCATACAATAGATAGATATACACTGGAAAAGTATTAATATATATAGATATGTACCTATCTGGTCGATATGCAAAATATACTGTATACTGTAATCATTTGACAAAAAAACATAGAAAAACATCATGTGTATGACAATGTATGACAAATTTCCCCTGGAAACCATGGATGATAGCCATCCCAGAGGCGGCGCGTACATCTCGGCCCACATGGTTGCTGAAGGTTGACATAGGATTTACCGCTAGATCATATATAGGTTATAACCATGGGATCATATTTAGGTTATATATGGTTATATACTTTGGATAACATAGGATCATAATATAAAATATGGGTTTGTCTGAAAATATGGTAATAACATGTAATAATTTAATAACCCTAAAATCCATTGTTTATTATTATCTGGTTGGTGGTTTGAACCCCTCTGAAAAATATGAAAGTCAGTTGGGATGATGACATTTATCCCAATATATGGAAAAAAAATCATGTTCCAAACCACCAACCAGTATAAGTCGCCTTATTAAAGTATGGTTATTTGGGAAATCTGTCCTAAATCGGCCCATCTACTTTTCCAGCAACCAAAGGCATGGCACCCAAGGTTTACGCCAAGACCCTACCTGGAAGGTCCCAGGACTCATAAGTGGTCAGTACACGCATAAGCCGTTTTTTGTGGGCATGGCTGCCATGGCCTGATGATACCCCCCAAACAAAATCGGATATTTGAGAAGACCCTAATGATTGATGGTTATCTCATCTCCAAAATATGGCCAGACTAATATGGTACGTTTACCGTAGCTCCATCTGTTGGATCCTGAAGATCTCCCATTGATCTCAGCCTTGATGGGAAACATTGGGAAACCAAGCTGCCCCAGCATGTTGTGGTGCCGCAAGCGTTTTTGAAGATGAAAGTCAAGGCCTCATTCGGATGCCACGATGGCGCCATGAAGAAAAACGAAGGTTCCGTTCCCGATCCACAAATTCTGACTGTTGGCGATAGGGATATCTGAATATAAAGCATAACCTTGATGTATTTTGATGTATCAAATGGGGAATATGATGAGATATCAAGAAAAATATTTACTAATATACATATATAATATATATATAACAGTTCTGTATGTGATTTGCTAGACAGTGAGCCTTTTTGCGCCAATGAACATCTGGGTGTAAAAAAATCGTGCAGATCCCACTCATTCTCGTTGGTAATCTCCATATCCCAGTCATATCCCGATTTTGCTTAAATCCGTAGGTCCTGATTGGTGTCTTGCAGCATCTTTCGGTCATTAAAATCCACTGATTTCCCAGCCATAGAACTGCGATCACTCCCGAATAGGTTTTTTTCTCGGTCAAATTACTATAAAGTTACCTAATAATAATGATAATAATAATAGTAGTAATAATAAGACAAGCGTTCCACATGGTAAACTCAATGCGTTCTTTCCCGCCAGTTGGCGATAACAACTAAAACCACCCCGGTTTATGACGATTTTGGAGATGGTTTTCCAATTTATAGTGCCATTTATAGTGAGTTTTCCCATTAAAAATGGTGATTTTCCATAGCTATGTTAGTTTACCAGAGGCTATTATTGGGTTTAACGACATTTTTGTTATCCCCCGTTATATCCCTATGATTATCCCATTCAGATACTATATATATATAGTCACCAAAAGTAGACCACTAGTGTTAGGCTAAAGCTGATAAAGTTGGGCATGATTTACTATAAAATCTCCCTTTTTTCTTGGATAAATTACTATCAAGTCACCATAAAACACCATAAATCACTATTAAATCACTATTAAATCACTATTCAATCCCCATTTTTCTTGGTTAATGTTGGTTATGTATCACCATCAACCACCATTTTTCTTGGTTAAAAATCCCATAAAATCCCGGTAAATCACCATAAATCACTATTAAAGCACCATAAAAGCTCACCAGTTTCCGTTTCCAAAACCGGATTTCCCAACACCGCGCCAAGAGTCGGTCATAAACTTCCTGGCGCATGGACTCTTCGATGGCATCAGCATGACCTTGGTCAAAGACATCTCGGAAACATCTGGGCTTTACGGCTTTATATGGTGATTTCATGGTGACATAACCAACATTAACCAACAAAAATGGTGATATAATTGTGATTTAATAGGCAATTCAATTCTATGAGGCTCCACCAAAAGGACACTTCCCAAAAATTGCCTCATTGAATCCCATGAAATATACCATTTGTCATCACCATTTTTCTTGGTGAAAAATCACCATGAAAAATCACCATATCACTGATATCACCATATAAATCACAATGTTGCATCAATCACCATGAAAAATCACCATCCATATCACCATATAAATCACAATTAAAGCACTATTAAATGGGATATTTCATGGGATTCAATGAGGCAATTTTTGGGATTGGTGTCCTTTTGGTGGAGCCTCATAGAATTGAATTGCCTATTAATGTACTATTAAATCACAATTAAATCACAATTTTTGTTGGTTAATGTTGGTTATGTCACCATGAAATCACCCACGGCTCCAATGTGAACCAAGAAACTTCCGACAATGACCAGCCAGGCGTCTTTCGCATGGACCAGTAAAGCGGCCAACCAAAAATCCATCGATTCGACTTTCTCCTTGGTGAAAATGGCCCATTTAACCAACAATCAATGGGAATAGTGATAGAAATAGAGGATTTTCCCATTAAAAATGGTGATTTTCCATAGTTATCTTAAATTACCAGAGGGTATCAATGGGAGATCTCCAGGATCCAATTGATTGGAGGTACGTAACTGTACCATATTTTTGGCCATATGAATTGTGGGGATATTCCCTGAAATTTAGGTAAAAAATAGGCCTTATATATGGTAGGTACCTCCAATCAATCGGTTCCTGAAATGGCCATGGAAACAATGTCCATCAACCACGGGGATTGAATTTCACTTCGTGGAAATAGAATGGGCTGGTTGGTGGTATACCTACCAACCCCTCTGAAAAATACTAGTTGGGATGATGAAATTCCCAACTGGAAAAATAAAAATCATGTTCCGAACCACCAACCAGTGGGTATGTAACCCACTTAATATGATCTGGAAATGGCTTGGAAAAAAGCCAAAAGATGAATTCGAACGAGGAAAATGATGATAAACCATCAAGTTCGGGGTATTTGCGGCGGTATTCTATGTTCACACAACTTTTTTGGGGGCCCGTAGAAAAATGGGGTCTGACAAAGGGGTATACTGTATACTCCAATACTGTCTTTGAGAACAATGATGACCTAAGCATTAAATTTAGGACGATTTAGAGGTAGCTTCATTTTCTGGGACAACTCCACATTTCAAAGGGAATTCCAGGATCCTAAAATGGAGGTACGGTGGTACCATATATATGGTAGGTACCCCCAATTTAGGTTCCTGAAATGGCCATCGATGGAAGTAAAGGATCCACAAATAATGCCTCGAATGCCTTCAAAGGTGACAAGTGAAAAACAACGCATTGAAGAAGAATGCTACACTGGTAAAAACAAAAAATATATGGGGTTCTCAACCGAATCCAATTATGCCCATATTTAAATTGATCATATCTCATTGGATTGTACCTCAACTACACCAACACCTATCGCCAGACCTCGTCAGACCTTTCCCGGTGACGTTTTTAGAGGACCCATTCCTTCCATGGTATCCACTGACCATCCCATGGCCCGCTGATACCAACCGGCCAGCGTCCACCGGCGTGGCATGAAGCCAAGCCGATAGGTCCAGAACCAAGACGTAGATGCCCAGAGCTGTCAGGAACCTGAAACTCCCATTGGATACATGGCATGTGCCCCACAAAAAATGTGAAAAATGGGTGGTAAATCCACTAAAATTGCCGTAATGAACATCAAATTAGTGGTAAAATGGTGGTAAATCCACGAAAATTCTGGTGACATCAAATTAAATCTATTGAACAGTACCATAAAATGAAGGTAAACATGGAACAGCACAGTGGTACCCCTTCAGCTGAGCAATCCAGCCGATCGTTAGATTTTTGTTGGGCTGATGACCTTGTCCTGTTGAGCTTAATTTTTTTAAATGTGGTGTGACCCCAAGCTATCTAGGGAAAGTAGGTTTTGACCCAAAGCCATATCCAAACTTGGGAAAAATGTGACTCCCAAATCACCCCCATCTGAGGTTTGCCTGGAAATTGCGTGTCCAAATGGGAAAGTCGCCTTTTTTTCATCTGGAAAATGATGAACCAATGGATTTATCGATATATACCCTCTGGTAAACGTTAACAAAAAGCTATTGAAAATGGCCACAGAAATAGTGGATTTACCCATTGAAAATGGTGATTTTCCGAGTATTTTCAACAAACCCATGGTCTCAATGGGATGTTTGAACCAGCCTCAACTCGTTCCCGCAGAGCCGCTGGGGTTCCAAACACGTGCGCCATGTTGTAGTACATCTCTTGGCCAGCAAAGTCCCACGTCTGCACCACCACCTTTTCAGGGGGTGTGTCCATTGGGATTCGATAAAAATGGGCTGAGGACCCTTGTAAAATTGCCATTTCTACTGGGGAAACTGATGATATATGGGTATATATCTAACAAAACTGCAGTTTTTAGTGGGGAAAATGATGATAAACACATAAAAATTTGACCCCATCATTGCTAAAATCTCAGCCAGGTGCTGAAAGTAATACGTACTATATCATCTCACGGTGTGCAATTCCGTAGTGGATGTCCCATAGGGAAAATGAAAGTCATCCGCAGCAAATCCATATTGAACCGTTATGTAAACCCAGTATGTGATATTACATATCTATCACCCATGGTATCTCCCGAGTTTCACTCATTGGTATCCAAGGTATTTCACCCATATATCATCCATTGAAGATGCGGCATCATGTGTTCTTTTTATCCAATCATTTCCAGTGATCATCCAATATAATTTTGCCCATTGAAGCACTGGTTATATGATATACATTGATATACCCATTATATATATATACATCATATTAACTATCATATGCTATCATCTATCGGTAAATAGTAGATAAGAAAATATCAATAATTAATCACCTATTACCCTCTGGCAATTTAACATAGCTATTGAAAATTGCCATTTAGTTCGTGGATTCACCCATTGAAAATGGTGGATCGTTCCATGTGTAATTGTTCATACTTATCATGGTATTTTCAGCTGGATGATCAATCTAATGTCGACCCAGGGTACCATAAAAAAAGTATCATATTATGACTATTGGAGGAATACCCCCCTCCAAAAAATAGACCATGGTTTAGTCTCATCCGGGGTTGACATTATACATTGGACTAAATGATTAAATCAGTGATCAATCTATATCATGGATGATCATAAAAATACTTATCATAAACAGAGGGTAATCCCACTAATATCCCATTAATATCCCATTGAATCATACAAAAAAAAACCACTCATATCCCATTAATATCCCATTGAATCACTATAAAATCCCATTAATATCCCATTCATATCCTATTGAATCCTACAAAAAATTCCCCATATATACCAGCACCATGGATCCGTCATGGGTACTGAAAAATTCCCCAGCGAAGGCCATCGCCTCTTCGGCTCGTTTTGCCAATGCTTCCCCCGAGATGGCGCGCTGGATCATCAGCACCGTGTCCTCGGCCAAGGCGTCGCCTGGAGGCGGGCGAAAAGGCGAAAAGGCGAAAAAACCTGGGGAAATGGCGGGTTTTTTGATGGGAAAATCCTGGAGAACATCATCTATAAATGCTGGTGTTTTCATATGTTTTCATGGAAAAATCATGAAGAAATTGGGATTGTCATCGGAAATTGATCTTTACATTGGGTTTATACATGTTTCTACTAAACTCACCTTGAAATGAGGATTTAAACAACAAATCAGCTGGTTTCAAGCAGTAAAATGGGGATATGATTGATACATGATTTATTTTCTGGTGCTGATGATCACCGCTGCTGAAATCAACAAATTCGGGCATCATATGGGGGACCATCCAAAATGGGGACATTTGTAATATCACTTAAGCAGTCCAAAAATGGTGGTATCAAGTGTCGATGGACTGGTGCAGGGTTTCCTGCTGTTCAACCAGTTCGATTGTCCACCAGTTTGGGGAATCTCCCGATACCTTCATTCTCCTGTCTGAGTCTTGACGGGGTAGATGCTTGTAAAAGAACACAAGGGAACTATCTTTGAAATCCTGTCATTCTATCCGTGAATCTTAAAACCATTTGCAGTATCTATAGTAGTGCTTTGTGCCCTTGAGAAATTCTCACCTTTCAGCTCCGTCTTGGCTTCTACAAAGCGATACCAGGATTATCATGTGTCATAATTGACCTCAGAGATCATCTGAGCGTTGAAAAATGATTAGGGAACATCCCTTGCAATGGTTTGTTTCATATGGAAATCAATCATATCTTGGTAGGAAAAACAACACAGCGTTGCCGCCGTACTAGAATCCCCCCAAAACCACACCCTTGGTGCGGCTGGGTGGTTCATCCATGAGCCAAGAACTGGCCAGTGGGCATGGTTCCCCCGACCCAGATTCGGTGCCTGTGCTCCTACCCTTGACGCTCGGAGAACTCGGAGAAGCATCCTGGGATATGGCTATGGAGCGACCAGTCGCATCCGAAGCAGTGATTCAACGTGGAATATACTGATTATTCAGAGGATATATTCAAGGATACAACTATTAGAATATAATTCATATGGGCATATGGCTATGGGTCAAGTGGCACTTTCCCTTTTACAAAAAAACCAAACAGCTGCTGAAAATCTGATGGCTATGGATGATTCATCCCCGCAGGGATGTTTGGAAATTTCGGCACATGTGAAAAACCAGCGACTTCAACGGAACAAGGCTTCCTAACAATCACGAAAAATCTCACTTGGCATGGTGGTAATGAACCAACTATTTTTGGGGGGAATCCGTGAGAATCCATCTCAAAGCATCCCAAACCATTTCAGGATGTGCCATGGTGGTATGTGTGGTATGGTCATGCATCCCACAATGGGACACCAAAAATAAAAAACCATCTGCTCATGACTAACAGTTCGCCATGGAAAATCACCATGTTTGAAGATAAACCCAGGTAAACCATCTATTTCGATTGGGGCCATGGCTTCCATGGCTATGTAACAAATCCCATCCCATGAAAGACCCTCTGGTAAACGAACGGACGTTTACAGTTTTTGCGAACTGGAACATCACCATTCATCATAGGTAAATCAACGAACTAATTATGATCAGTTTCTGATAAAAATTACCCATTTATGATAGGTAAATCAACTATAAATGATCATTTTCAATAGCAAGCCGTTAAATTACCAGAGGGTACTGCTTGGGTGATTTCCTTCCAAGACATTCACCAAAAAAAATCCGGGTACAACCGATACCATAGACGTCACCATAGAAGTTATACCTTCATAGTTACCATCTGGTTATGTCAAAATAGCTATTGAAAATGGCCATAGAAATAATGATTTTTCCCATTAAACATGGCGATTTTCCATATAGTTTTGTGTATATTTACCAGAGGGTATAGAATCTATCAATCCCCATGGAATTTCATAAGATCCCCATATTTCCACGACAGATTTTTTGTTCTCCACCCAACTTTTCCCACACCTGGATTTCCGCAGCCAGACTGGCCTGGGCCTCAGCAGGAGAACCATCCCAGTTGGGCCAGTTGGGGATTGACCTATGGAAATGGTTCATAAATGGAAAATGGCCCATAAATTCGAGGAAAACTAACAGTTTGCGAACTGGAAACTAACATGGGTAAACTAAGAGTTTGCGAACTGGAGAATGGATGAACAATGGCCCATAAATTAGAGGATTGACCTATGGAAATTGTGATGTTCAAATAGTTTGCTATGTTAAATCTAAAAAGATAGTAACCTGATATAACCAGTCCAACATCTGAGGCAAAAATGTGTGGGACTTCAAGTGGGAATGAACTTGAATGAACCACCCACAATTGGGACTTCATAAGTGACACTTTGATTTTTTGTGAGAACAATGGTGATTTAAACAACTATCAATGGATTTGTTTATGGGAAATGTTGGCCCCAAATACAGGGGTTTCAGGCAGACATTCCCTTCCATCCAATTCAGGTATTGAAATTGAACAGTAAAATGGTCATCATACCCTTTGGTAAACGTTTACATAACTATGGAAAATCACCATTTTATAGTTGGATAAATCAACTATTTCTATGGCCATGTTCAATAGCTTTTTTTTATGTTTACCAGATGGTATTTTTTGGGGGACCAATGTGTGACAATAAACAGGAACAAGATGAGCGAACTGGTTTTCATGGGATTCCGAGCTCATGAATTATGATCACCCCCAGTACCCTCTTGGTAAACGTTTACAGTTTGCTATGGAAAATCACCATGTGTAAATCAACGAACTATATAAATGATCGTTTTCAATAGCTATGTTAAATTACCAGAGGGTATATTGGGTAGTATAACTTCCAAGAAATCATCAAGCAACTGTATAGTTGTGTTCAAACTGCTCTCAATTGGGTTTCAAGAAGCCTTGGGGACAAATATACTTGTGCAAAAATTGTGCAAAATGTATGTGGTAACCATCCCCTTATTCCCATAAATGGATTGTGAAAATCATCACCCAAGGGTAGCTTCACTTCTGGGTGTACGACTTGGTAATACTCCTTTTCTTATGACTAGTTCGTTAAAGATACCCAATTTTTAAGCTGGCTGTATCATAGCTGCATCATCTTGAACACAGGTGCTTATCATTTATACGCCCCTGTTTTCGTTGTTTCATCCCCATCATTGTTGGCTGCGTGCTCATGTTCATTGGGAATATCCTAACTATTCCCACTCCTTGTTGGCTATATATATACATATCTGATCCCAATTCTTTGTTTTCACATCTAGTCTCTCTTGCATGTACTCTACCTGAAACAACAGAGGACAGCAGATCCCCTTCCAAGACGTGTTGTGGATCAATGGTCGTTCGGGAGCCGAAGTTCTAGTTCCAGGGTTCTACCACTCACTGTTTTAATGTGAGAGCATAGAGCACCACAGTCAAACTTGGTGTCTTGGTTTGCACCTCTGAACCTAGATTTTCTGCAAAAAAAAACAGTATACCCATATATAATCCCTTAATAATCACCATTTATCATAGGTAAATATCATATATGCTTCTGGGTCAAAACTTGGGTTCCCGAAAATCTGGATACCAATAACCCAAATCTGCGGTAACCCAAAAAATGCTATGCCTGGCCTTCATGGTGTCGGCCACAGTAATGGCCACCTTCTCCTGCCGTTGGGGTGTGGATATGAAAATAATTGGGATGATTTATTGAAATTTGGAGATATTCAGATGCATGATCTTATGCAAATTCTTGGAATATTCTGGGGATATTGAACAATTCTACCCTTAAAGAAATGAACCCCCACTATTATTTGGGTTTGTAACACCACCTCCTAGTATGGTAATATATGATACCTCAATTATGATAATTATCCTACAACACTATGATTATTCATGATTATGATCCATTCAATCCCGAAAAAATATGTTCATGTTTTTAGCTTTTGGTAAGTTATGATCCACTTATAAAACTATGGTTTCATAGAGTTTTTTGTAAAAACTATTTCGAATGTAAACTTTTCCAGTTAACTATTTTCCATCGAAGCTATTTTCCATAGATTTTCCATCGATTTTCCAAAGGTTTCCCGCAATCTTTGGGGCACCGGTGGTTTCACCCTCCCCCGATGACCTCAAGGAGCTTCGCCACAGAGCCCAGACCTTCCGACAGCTCTTGCCACGCCCCGTTGATCTGCAATGAATTGCTCAATGAATTGATGTTTTAATCAAGAATTGATGTTTTAATCCCAAAATTGATGTTTTAATCTGATGTTTTAATTATTGGTTTTAATCAATGAATTGATGTTTTAATCAATAATGGTGATTCAATAATGGTGATTCTGATCCATAAAAACCAATGAATGAGGAATTGATGTTTTAATCAATGAATTGATTTTTTAATCAATGACAATGAATTGATTTTTAATGGTGACTCAATGATGGTTTAATGGGATTTAGTTGATGAATCGTAGTTTTTATGATGATTTAACGGTGATTCAATGGGATTTGATGGTGATTTACCTTGGAAATTGAGAAACTCTAAACCAACTGTGGGGCCCGGAATCTACAGATTGTCTTCCTTCCACATCTATGTTAGTTTACCCTAGGCTAGATGCTACTAAATTCTGGTGATAAGTGATATGCGTGTATTGATGGTATATGATTTATGCTGTAATAGTTGTGGAAAAAATGGGAAGCGATATTACTATATTATAATTGGGGATTACTATATCACAATTTGAAGGAAAAATCATGTTTAAACATTGAGGATATGTAAATCATATATGATATCAATGCGGATTTTTTCCGGATATCACCATCTCTTACAGCTAAACTTGGAGATTGAACCGTCAAGGGTTAAGTTACCAAAATGGATATTGGGTGTAACTGAAAATGGACTAATGTTAGGCAATAAACCACCCACATGGATCGTTGTTCCTTACCGCTTATGGTAAAATGGGGGGGATAGTTTACTATTGCTATACTAACATCATACCTCCAAAACTGATGACAAATCAGTGGAGTTGGGCGTGGCAAAATCATTGGGGCACTTCTCAACTTCTCGGCCCATAGATGGCTGGTCATTTTCAGCACTACCCCATACATGTTTGGAGCCCAATGATTTTGATTCATTCCCATATATAATATATATATATATGTATATATATATATATACATATGATATAATAAGCCAGAAGAATGCTAGGTCTAAGACTGCAACGGCTCTGCCAAGGTTCCTGTTAAATCTGGATTGAGGGTTGAAAACAACGTAAGGGAGATCGACTTTGAAGAAACCAGCGCAAAAGAACATAAGGCGGGAGAAATTAGACAAAATACGGGGAACATATATGTATCAAACTATTACACTATTGATGGAATAAAATGGTAGAACATAGTGAAGAACATGTGGAATTACAATTGGTATCAAAAAGAAGAAAATCAATACGAGAGAAACCGAAGAGGAAACTGTCAGTTTTGGGGCAACAACATTGATATCAACAATCATTCATTCTGTGGATTGAATTCATTTACTGTAGTGTCAATATTCTTAGCATACTCGAATTACAAATGATTCAAACCATTTTAATCCACTGGATCAACGATTGTTATATCAATAGGCTACATATGGCTCACCATCACACGATGGTGAAAGTCAGATTCAGTTCCACAGTTCGTTGCTGCTCAAATGCCATGTCGCTGTGTCTGGTTGTTGCAGCCCATCCAACTGATTTTAAGTGCCTTTGACATTTCACAGAGGGATTGCCGATACGGCCGATACGAATCTACCAAGAAGTGACAACAGAATGTCAAAATCTTGCAAGAAATTTCACAGATTCGGTGTAACCGCCACCGAATTTCAGATATTTTTAACAGATATTTTGGTATATCGGATACACCAATCAAGATCTTCAATATTTGGTGGTCTCGCAAGTCTTGGTGGCCTCGGAGCCTGGCTTCCCGGGGGTCCAGAGCTCCTGCCGTTCCGTTCTCCCAAAATCCATCGGGAAAAAAAGGTAAATCCCTAGTAATTTGATGATGCTTTATATCATATGGATGATGAATGATGATATGTATGTCATAAGTACCATATAATATATAAATATACAGTACATATATATATATATATATGTATGTATGTATATATATATAATCAAAGTATGGTTTAATGGATGATTGGATAAGAACCATTGGAGTATTACGGAAGCCCCTTCCTTTTGATGCCTTTTCTGAAGATGCCACCAGGATGTGGTGCCACCCAGCCATGACTTGGGGTAAAAATGTCGGTTGGTTCCAAGGGGGGTCGAGCTGCTCATTGGAAAAAAATGACGTGTCGAGTCTAATCATCAATCATTGGATTGGTTTAAGGGAAAATCTACAGGAAACCATGGTTTTTACCATCAAATATAGGGCTCTCCTGTAAATTTTCCCATCATCCAATTCTATGAATCAAAGGTTATGAGATTTCTATGAGATTTACTAAAGCAGGTCATGTCATATTAGTTCATATATCCAAGAAATATATGTTTAATATTGTTTAATAACTAGAAAACATAAATCTGGGATGATCACAAAATACAGAGCAATATACAACATGTACATAACAATCAATTAGACAATTGACCATGCTATGGGATTAAGACCTTTAACATACTGTGGATCATCAATATACAACCACAAGTGTTCTCAAGGTTATTCAGTCCCTATGACCGGAATTGAAACAGGTCGGGCAATGCTTACCACGGTTACCTGGTGCTGCAAGATCTAAAATGGGGACAAAGAGACAAACCCGAAAAGATCTCGCAAGAAATCCTGTGGATGGGCCAGCAAAATCCTGCACCTCCTTGGATGGTTGAAACATGTTGAAACCCTATAAATAGTGGGATGTTTACCACCTACCAGCTAGTGCAGGATTTCGCAACCATCCACCGTAGGAGAATCTTTTCAGTGTTTACGTAAAACGTAAAACCGTGAAATTTCTGGATGTACCGCAAGCAGTTCTTGAAAGCTTGAGGCGATGCGTTTACTTCCTGTCAAGGGATGCCAATTTTGACGCCAAATCCTTGGCAACTTGAAGGAACTTTGCCGAACTTGCCAGGATATTTAGGACATTTTAGGAAACTCTTTTCCTACCATGTTTAAATGACATGTTTCCCCAGGGTATGTATTTGAAGGAAACGTCCCCAACTTGTTTTAAATGGAAATTCATCAGGGAATTGATGTTCCATGAGGATGTTTTAGGAGGTTTCCCTGCTTTTTTCAAACAGAATTTCTCCTCTTTTTGTAAGGGAACTTCCCTGGGGATTTGGGGGAGACTCTCTCTGAAGATTGGTTTACCTGGAACTTTTGGGAAAATCCTCCTGGATTTGGGGGAACTGCACCGGTAGTTACGTAGTTTACTATGTAGTGTAACTTCCCCTGGTTGTGTGTTTTCTGAAACTCGTTCTATTTGATCTTTGGGGAACTTCCCCCAGGGATTCACGGGGGAACTTCACAAGGGAGTTCGAGGCTTGCCAGTCCAAATCTAAAATCTCGGTGTCCTCCAGTACATGAATAATCATGAATAGAGATATGCATAGCTAGGCTTTCCCCATAGGCTTTTCCATGTCTGAAAAAAAACCTGGTTTTTGACTCCTTCAGCTCGAATCAGAAAGCTATCCTACTGTGCTGCAAAAAAAGCATCTTCATCGGAACATAACAAACGCTGAAAGGATGTCATAGCTACATATAGCTACCTATATGATGTACCTATGATTCCTATGATAAGTTTTGCTAAGGTGGATGTAGTCATCCTGTAGTCATCCAGTGGAACGCGTCTGTCCTTGTCGAGCGTACAGCTCTTGGTTTCCACACCTCGCTAGCGGAGCGTTGACGCAGTTGACGCCCAGCAATGACCAAAGGTAACCGAGAACCGTTCGACCATTTTCGTTGTCAAGGTACCATCTTGTTATTTAACATAGCCATGGGAAATGGCCTACTTATAGAGGTTTACCTATTAAAAATGGACAATTTTCCATTTGCCTTATGTGATTGATAATCATGATTATCATAGGGTTTCATGATACCCTCTGGTAATTTAACATAGCGAACTGGAAAATCGCCATTTTTAATAGGTAAATCAACTATCAATTACCCATTTTCCATAGCAAACTGTTAATCCTGACAGAATCGTCAGACACTGCAAAAAAGTTGGTGCATGACCCATAGGATCCATGGTGCTGCTATATATGGTGTGCCATGGATCCCATCAATATACCCCTTTTATGTTAGCATATATACCAGCACCATGGATCCTATGGGTGATAAGTTTAGAGGGTAAACAATGACAGTCATAGCTGCCACCCCAATGGTGGCGGCTCATCCCAAACTCCGATCTCAAAAGTTTCCCCGAACGTTGGGGGGATCCGAAAATCGACGCTTCCAAGGTCGTATCAAAAAATACGATATATTGGATACATACCATTGGTTGGTAATATACTGTTATATAATATTAATGGTTAATATAGATGGTTATTATATGGTTAATGATAATAATATACTGGTTGGTGGTTGAGCCTACCCCTCTGAAAAATGATGGAGTGAAAGTCAGTTGGGATGATCATATATTCCCAACTGAATGGAAAAATAAAATTCCATGGTTCCAGTCACCACCAACCAGATATCTATTGTAAATATCTGTAAATTACCTTACATATCCCTATTGAAATGGCATGGTTCAACGGTTAAACCATGGTTAAACCATATCAAACCTCCCATGTTCGATGGTCCCGGTCGACATGGTCGACATCCGGCAAGATGCCATGGGTGCTCTGCTGCTTCGGGTTGAAGTCCCTGGATGACTGGTGGGTTTTTGATAGGAATGGTTGAGCATCATGGGAAGAGTTCAGCAGCTATACATAGCACTGTGCTATACTCTCTGATTCTTGGCCAGCTGTGCTATACTCAGCCTGATTCTGAAGTATCTTAAGTTGTCTCCTGGAACTTCGGGATTTCCAAGTCATCTTGTTTATTGCGGGAGTATTTTTTTGTCACGATCGTTCCAAGATTGCCCGGGGGTAATCCATGGATTAGCGGAGGGAAATTGAATCGGCTTGGGAACTGGATAACCCTCGGGAACAACAAAAAATGACAACAAGATACAACAAGGTTGATACCTCGCATGGGGATCTCGGCCATCCAACATGGGGGGGACAAGGAATACCACAAAAAGCGCGAGGAGAAGGGTCTGTTGGCAAGTTGGCAACCAGAAAATTCTGGGTTTTACTATGGGTTTTACTATGGGTTTACAAAATGTTTTGCTGCTGACTTCAGAGCAGGAGGATTCCATTCCAAGTTTACAGATGCCAATAGTTCTCATCACATTGGTGGCCCTGAAGCCATCCGACAGACTTGGCCGTTGCCTCCAAAGTTGTAGGGCCCAAGAGGTTTAGCTGGACAGGACTTTGCCCAAAGGTTGCCCTTAAATCTCTGCGAAAAATGATGGTTGTTGGGTATGGGTCAAAATTAGGTACCGAAATAATTGGATGGTTAATACTAAACTAGACTAACAAAAAAGTGGTCCCACATCGGTCTTCCATTTTGACCCACATCCATATTTATTGATGTTTGTGAAACGATATCCCAACGTTGCTGAAGATCCCAACTTTGCCTGGTAAAAACTCAACACAACTTTACCCTCAAAGAATCAGCCCTTCCCACCCATCAACCTCCACTGATGCTGGGGATTTCCCAGATGGCAATACGATCAATTTTTTCGCCGTAGGAAGAGATGATCTGTCCATTTACCCTCTGGTCAACATACAAAAAACTATGGAAAGATCCACCATTTTTCAATGGGTACAGTAAATCCACTATTTCGACTGGGCCATTTTCAATAGCAAACTGTTAAATTACCAGAAATTTCCCATTAAAAATGGTGATTTTCCATAGTTTTTTGGTTAAATGACCAGGCCGGGTTTTCTGTCCCAGCCATGTTTGATCGCCTGCCGGAGAGAGAACGCAACGTGGAGGTCTTTCCAGCCCGTGCATGGCCCACCAAACAGAGCTTCACCGAGTGGAGTGGCTGCACCCCCTGGGGCAGGTCACGGGTCCCGTTGATGGTCACTGGTGAATTTTACCCATGGTTGTTGTCAGAAAATTTAAGAGTTTATCCATAGTGATGGGAAATAAATGGGAAATAAACATGGAGAGTTTCTGTTTCATGTTGTGTCTTCCCAAAACAGTTTAAGATAGTTTTCCAGCCCCTTGGTGCCACCAGCCTCTTTCATAGCCGTGCGGAACGCACGCATGGCAGCAGGGCCTGAAAGTCACGTCTGTCGTGAATGTCATCTATTGGACAGCGTCAAAACAAGTGTCTATATTGTTTATAAAACAAGTGTCTGAATTTTGCTTATATTAATTAGTTATCTGATCTGATTTGTTTATACATCTAGATATGATATGATATGATATGATCTGGACCTGTTTGCGTAAATTTATGGACAAACTCCATCACAATATCGAACGTAAATAGAACAAATATGCCACTGGATAGTTCACGGGGGGTTAACCTCCAATTTTCATGAATCAACCGGGCAACCGGGCTTCCCGCCCATCACGAGAGGAAATTAGTCTGTGGCATTATCATGATACATGTTGATATATACTGTATATGGGTTTTTAATCTTGCACTGAGGTGGTAAAGCAAATAATCAATCAACGACTATGAGCCCCCCAAACTAAACAGACACGGCTTGGACAAACGATGCAACACTGCAGCTTTTGTAGTGGGTTTACAGCATTGATTGTCCGGAAATGTTATCAATGTTCACTTGAAATAGTGGCTGTAACCCTATGGATCCAAACACTGTCTGAGAAGGTACTCAGCCCCCTAAATCATACCCCAAGTACTTCCTATGAAGGTACAACTGGATCCATAGGGTAAGAATTCAAAAGCCATTTAAGATCCATTTGCTCTGAAATGTTGGCGGCAGAGTCTTGGAACAATGCACCATTTCCTCTCGAAAACTGCAATACTTTGCCAACTCCGACACCGGAAAACCGGAGCAGTGGACCAGGATTCGCTCGATGTGTCACAATGACAACTTAAGTGAGGTTTTTGATAGGAATAGATCCAATCGCACTGGAAAATACTGGAAACATTCAATCAAATTGGAATATATATTATATTAAAAATTATGATGTATTAGATATATCCCAAAGGCTCAGAGTAGGGTTGGAACCCTCAAATTGACTTGGGCCCTCGGCGAGAAAATCACCAGGTACCACGAGGGACCAGGGTATCTTGGGGCCCTCAAAAAGTGATGAATCCATCAAAGGTTTGGGGATCCCATGGGTAGTTGGTGAGCCGCAGCCTTTTTTTCCTTTCAACTTCGCGACCGCAACATCATGCGGATCCAATGCCCGGGCTCCAAGCAGAAAGGTGGGCTAAGATGGGCTCGGTGTCATTTCAATTTTAAAAGCTCGAGGTAGACCAATGCTAAGTAGCGCTCGAGAGTGCGCAAACTCACACTAGTTTTGTGGCAGGCTCTTGCAATCCTCCCGATCCTTCCTACCCAATCTTCTGCTGAAAGAAGTTGAGACATCCTTGGATTGAGTCTCTCAACCCTGACCGTCTTGCCGTGGTGCATGAAGTGGTGGTGTTTGCACAGCAACAACCAGCTTGTACGGTTTGGTTCCCGTCGCACTGCTGCTCTGCTCTTGCTATGTAAGGCAGCATATGATAGCAAATGCTGCATGACACTTCTGTAGTAAGACTCCCCTTCTTGTTCAGTCAAAATCAAGCCGGCTGTATCCATAGTCCGTAATGAGTTTGCATAGGAGTGTAGGCAGGTAGCCACCAAACGATCCAAATCTGTAGCTTCTGCCCGGCTAGCATGCTCAACACAGCAATTGGCAATCCAAAATGTCACAACCTTGCTGGGAATACCCTTTGAACTCAGAACTGGGTAGTTCATCCGAGTCTTTCTAGCCAAACGAGCTGGTGTGAACCTGGGCTGAGACGCTTGCAAACCATGTTCCTTTTTCCAACGCAAGAAGTGTAGATGCGCCTGTCTAAGCACAATTGCCAAGGAATCGCTGTAAAGACCATGTTGCGGAAAAGCACCAAAGAAACCCACTTCAGCTAGGTAAACGATGGCGCTACCATTTGCAGTTTTCCCAGTTCCCAATAGTTGAGAATGTAAGCAATCGTGCAGGACCCTGTCTAGGGGGAAGCCAAGTGTAAAGACGACAGATCCTTGTGCAGGATTGTTGAAAATCAAGGAAACAAACTGAACTAAACCAAAGTAGCGAGCACCCATAAAAAAAGAAATCAAAAGGTCTCCAAACCATCAAAACCAGTCTAGCTTCTTTTGCTTTCAAACTCAGTCAAATCCGGTAAGCTTGAAACATGAGCAGCGTTTGAGCGAAAATCCCCCATAGTCTTGCTCACGTCCCCATCCTCTGCCTTCTTGACAACTCCACACAAAGAACAAGGTGTGTTTGATCTGTAGTTGTGAAGCCCGTACTGCTCAACAATAAATTTCAGGTCCCCTTGGAGGGAAGAGAAAGTGAATGCGTAGCCAGAACTGGACCAATCATAAAGCATTGTTGGGTCCACCATGTCGCGTACCCTGGGAATCACATGCGACATAATGTCATCGTAAGTGAATTCAGTAGCAGCATATTCAGGATAAATCGCAATTGGAAAATACCTTGTCAGCGAAGAATTCTGGTATGCAAAGTCACTGCACCACCCCAGAACTGTCACTGACCCAGTTTCAGACCCCTTGTAAGCAGCAATATCATCTCCGTAGAAACTCATGGGGACCAATTTTCCCAGCAAAGGGTAGTTGCAATACTGGTTTCCTTTGAACCAATCACAGTTGTTTTTGCAGTGATCCCAGAACATTTTGATTTCTTCCTGGGTATGGCTGCCAAACATGGTGTGATGCCAAACCTTCTCACCCTTCGCAAACAAAGCCGTTGCCATGTCATCTGGGTAAATGACGGATATCTGTTGCCATTCAACTGATGCTGAAGTATGGGAATAAAGACGAGCGGGAACCCTGTTGATCTTCACACCAAACCGTTTTGTAAATGATCGCAGAAGGAAATGAAAATCACGTTCACAGTTCTTTGCGTGTTTACCTTCGGTGCCAAGCCGGGACATCCGGTTCACCAAGTCATCATTTCCAACCACTCCACCTTTCTTCTCACACCATTGAACAGCTGAAGATGCCATTTGTTGAACCTGGGCATGTCCCGGGGAAAAGGGGAACGATGTAACAATTCCATGTATATATAGGATCCGGATCATTCCTTAATGACTATGATACTGTGATATCCTCAATGGGGTTATAAAAGCTAAATTTCTTAATGGGGTATTGCAAACATGAATATAGGATAATTGAGGACAATCTTATTTTTTAAGATGATTCACTAACGGGTTACTAACCATCATTGTCCTAAAAAAACACAGCACCAAAACATCCAAAGCTGGACTAGCTCAGTATCGACCCCATGGTTTCGAGGATCACTCTTTTAATATCATATTATATGCTATACTTCGACCCAAGCCCCACAAACTACAAACAAATCCGGGCCCATATGTACTTTGTTGATCACTCAAATCATGAAGTTTATACCACCCCAACATATGACCAAGAGACTCTGGTTGCACTTGTTTTGCCAGATGCAAAGTCCCCAATTAGTAAATCTTCAAGCTCCGGAGGTTCTTTGGGCTTGGGGCAATTGACCCTAGTCCTCGCTTGCAAGATCTTTGCCGTCTCATGTGGCGTCAGCCGAGGTCTTTTGCATGGTGGCTCCTGAAAGATTGGCCGGCACAAGGCCTAGAAAGGGAGTATGGGCGGCACATGCATAGAGGTGGTATACGGTATATTGTGAATTTCATCAACCATCAAACCATTTTTAAATATGAAACCATTTTTTCTCAATCACTAAGCCCATGATTTGTTACAGTCCTGGGAACTGGCACTCACTGATGCTATAGCTGCAGCACGGCGTCGGTGGAATCCTGCACATCACAAATGATGGGCATATATTGTATTGTGATGTGGAAGTGCAGCTACTATGGTGCAACATACCGTTTAATTGAAACTATTGTTTCCGATGCATCGGACATTTCAAAGTTCCAGCGGTTCTGTCATGAAAGATGCCAACGAGTATTGGCCGGTCACCACAGCGACTTTGGTCAAGCCATGATGTTAACCCCATCCATTGCAAACATTTGATTTGACCTTCGGTTTTTAAGAAAACCAGGCCCTCAAAACCCCATGTCATCCGATTGTCACGGTGACTTAAGAAAAGTAGGCTCCATCACTGCCATCACTTGCCGACTGGGCCATCATTTGCTTGCCGCCCGGGAGGCCCTTGACTTGTCCTGGATACTGCTGGGAACCCCAATCCGGCTAATGGAGCAGAGTACCTATGCTGGGTCACTATAGTATATAATTTATAATTATAAAACATCGATATAAATCTGGACCATATGGGTGTGTCTGCAAATGGGGTAAATCCATTAAGTGTGAAAATTTATATATAAATTGGAATTGGGGATAGAAGTTTATTTGACATTAGTTGGTGGTAGTTTATTTTCAGACACATCCTTAACATAGTCCTTCGAGCTGGTAGATTTGGAAGCCTTTTCCAACGTCAAGGCTTCCTTAGCATCTTCGGAGTACAGTTCCATGCGCTGAATCGCAAGAGTGCACGCGGCCTCAAGAGCGGGGATATCTGCATCGAGAATTTCCTGGCAGGGCCAATAAAAACACATAACCAAGTGTTGGGGACACGCATCGAGTAGAATCAGAACCCCAACGGACCCGTTTTTGGTTTTTGAATATGTTTTGCATGCAAAACATATTCAAAAACCAAAAAGGGGCCCACATATGATTCACACATGGTTTGCACCCAGAAAAGGAAGCATGTACCAAATTATGTGCATGATACCCATTCCCCTATGGCGAAACATTGGACAATTCTCCTTGTTGACAGTCAACTTTGTGAGCTGTAAGAAAGATCGCTCCAGTTCATCGGCGTGGCCCACAAAGCTTTTGCCTGGGTTTCAGCCACTCATAAAAAGATGGGGAATATACCTAGGCCCTCCAAATACCATGCATGAGATGTATAGTATGTTTTTTTATAATGATCAATGTTGGTATTTGGATGGTCCAGTGAAAATGAGGTTGTGGGCTTACCCAATATTGAGCGTGAATACCAATGTAATAATCCCCATCAGGCTAGCTACAAAGGGACTCTTGGTGCTTGAGGTGGGACAACTTGACTGGCCACATACGGGCTCCTTGCAAGTCCGTACTGATCTTGTTCAGAATCCACATTGCCTTTGGGCGGCCTTCCTCTGGCATTTCATTCCTTGGCAGAACCGGTTTTTAAATCCGTGGTCTTATCGTACCCCATAATTTGATATATACTTTATAACCACATGTTTCATAGTTACCCCATAAATTACACCATGATTGAACGTTTCAATTTTCTACCCAAAGTGTTACTATTTGGGTTTATCCCCGGGCCCAACTCACATGTAATCCAAATTGAGGTTTCCCATGTATTAGAGAATTGTACTTCGAACCCCAACCCCATACTAATTCAATATATTGGGATTGCAAGTTTGGGGAAGAACAGTACAACCTACAAATCAAACGAGTATCTTTCTGGGCTTAGGTTTTGCTGCTGCTGCTGCGTCAGCATCACCATTTGCACCCTTCCGTGGCTTTCTTTTCCCAACATCGGTTGCTGCCCCACCGGTCCCAGGCGGAACACCAGACCCATGCGATCCCGGTGCACCTTCCGCCACTTGCCCTTCAGCTTTTGGGAACTGGAGATGGACCGGGGCATTCATCACGTTGGCACCCAAGGCTGCCAATGCAGCAGGAGATGCCATTCTTTCAGCCTGACCAAATGTTATTGTTTTATGAAATTGCATACATGAAATAACTTACATGAATCCAATAGCAATTATGAAATACAATGGTGAAATACTTTTTGGTTATGACCATATGCAGACATATTTCCTTCTTGAAAGGTGAAATGTATATGCAAGGGAAATTGAACACCCTAATGCTATGAGTGACCTATAAAAGAATCAACGGGAGGCACCTGCTCGCCATGTGCCACACCAGACACACCCAAAGAGATTTGATCTGCATGTTCGTCTTCATCAATGGTATCCATGTCGATGAGCACATAGAACAAAGTTGCGCTCAAATCTCCTGGGGCATCAGGGTGTTCCTTATATTCATTCGAACGAGTCTTCTGGTCCACAATTCTGTTCACGATGTTCTCATCCTGGTGCATCTGCATCAATTGCCCCCTGGTCTTCCAGCCTGGGCACTTGGGATAAAACATATATTATATCAATTGCGTGGTTCAGATCTATATGGGTGATGTTCATTCTTTCAAATCTTGTATTGACCCATCAAATCGATCTATTTGTCCCTTTAAGGCATGAACCATACCGCCGACGACCGATGGTTCTGTCCGTCCGGCTCCTGGAGCACTTGATGCTGAGCCTCGGGCAGGATTCACATGAATCACGGGTAACTAGCCATGAATGCAAATAAATTCTGGATATATGTAGCTATAGGGGATATACTAGGGGGCTAACCAAAAAAAATACACAACATACAAGAAACTTCGACCAATCTTTTCCGGCTCGGAGAAATGATTGGAATACAGCATTCTTAGCCTGTCGGCTTCGGGACTGAACTGCCTGTTTCCAAGACTCCACAATCTCGGATGGAATCTCATAGTTCTCGGGGCATTCCAACTGCCTGTCAGAAACAATAGGGTGGGACCGATGGAAATATCAGTTTAGGATTCCTCATCGATATCCAAATGGTATGTGTTCATGGGTTCAATATATATGATCTATAATTATGCATAGATGTGAAACAAATGATTTACACTGATGGGGCCGAAAAAAAATGATCACGCGGTACATAGATATGTTTTAATTGCATGCATGATGATTTGCAATCTATTGCCCTGATAGGGGTTGAACTTTAAAAAAGCAATTTATCACTTGGCTGACCGGCCTCTTCATTTGGACGTACTGCGCTTGCCTCTGATTGTACGTGTCAAACTTCACCTCTCCAGCAGGAGCCTCAAAAAGGTTGATAGCAACACCCTATTGTTTTCCCATTCAGCCATGGATTCTATGGGACGGTTGGCCAGGTTTTTTTCGATCATATATATAATATAAATCTATAATATATATATATACTATAGCTAGCTAGAGCTAAATCAAATATTATGTTATCATATATCCAGTGGATATCACATAATTGCAACTGAGAAACTCCTCCAGCAACTTGGATCTGGTTGGCCATGGAACCAGCCGGCACCATAGCAGTGGAAGCAGCCGGCACCACAGCCGGCACCACAGCCGGCACCACAGCCGGCACCACAGCCGGCATCGCAGCAGCTGCAACAGGTGTGGGGGATGCTTTGGGTGGTGGAGGCGTGGGCGGTGTGGGTGGTGTGGGTGGCACAGGTGCTGGAGTCTTGGGTAATTTGAGGATGGACGGTGGTGCTGGTGGGACTGCCGTATTGGGGACTGCTGGAGCTTCGTGGATGGTGACTTCCTGTGAGAAAGACACATGCCTCCGTGGAGCGTCCGGGTCAGGAACTGCAATGCTTGCTGTCTCGTGTGGGTTTGGGTCTGGCAAAGCGTTGTCTGGGCTGGGCTTTGACTCATGTTCTTCTTTCCAAAGAAGGAAGGAAACTAGTTCTTCTTCCTCGTCATCCTCCCCAAACTCCGGAATGCTTTCGTTTGGCCCCGCGTCGAAGACTGTCTTCCGTCTCCATTGTTCAAATTGTGGAAACAAAGGGTCACCTTTGCATTGCTGGATCCATTTGGTGGTCTCCTGATCGTCCATTTTGGATGTCCAAGATCGAACACGGTTCTCCCGTTCAATCTCTGCTGAGTTGCTTGGAGCTTCAGGCATGGGAGGGACCACAGGTGCTAGGCCCGTAGCTTCGGCCGGGCTGGGTGCTTTGGCGATGGGTGTGACCATAGGCTTTGGCTTAGGTGCGGTGGCCACTGGTGTGACCACAGGTGCTGGGCTCGTGGCTTCAGGGCTGGGTGCTGCAGGTGTGGTCGCTGGCGCTTTGGGAGGGGGTGCTTTGAGCATCGGGGTTGCCTTTGGTGCGACCACAGGGCTGGTAGCCTTAGGAGGGCTTGCTGTTGGTGTGTCATCAGGGCTGGAAGATGTGACCCCCCCATGTTCTTCATGTTCTGGCTCCACCTTTGTCGATGGACGTGGCTTTTGTCGTCGTAAGGCTGCTGCTGCATTCTGAGTAGGCGTTGGTGTCAACTCCGTTTTGACAAGACTTGGAACTGGTTCTCTCACGTAAGCCTGGAGTTTGGGCGGTACAGGTGGTGTTTTGAGCACCATAGGCTGCATGATGCCTGGAGGTGGTGGGGCTGCGCGCTTGGGATCACAACCATCACCTTTGGTCTGCGGTGTGGCTGGAGGTCGTCCCATACCCACCCCTTTGACTGCAAATGCCTTGTCTCCCATGATCTCACTTTTGGCTTTCTTCAAAACAGGTGGTGCTGGATCTGGGACCGGCATTGGGGGCATAGCGCACTTTGCTTTCTTGTTGGGTTTGCTGCTGCTTGGGGAGGGCACAGGCGGTGGAGGCATTGGTGCTCCTGCAAGGCTTGCTTTCCCGGGAGGGATCACGCTTGGTGGGCTGGCAGATGGGGGAGATGCAGCGCTCGAAGGAGGAACATCGCTGATTGGGGAAACTGACCTGAGATCAAAAATCAGAGAGAGAGAGAGTGAGAGAGAAAAACAGAGAACGAGAGGGAGAGAGAAAGAGAGAGAGAGAGAGATAGCTAGAGCAAATATGGGTCAATTCCTGATTCATAAGTCTGTTTTGCAACTTGAAAGTTGAACATAGGGGCTTATCAATTTCACAGTATGGCCAAATTTCACAATCATTTGTTTACATGGTTTGGAAGCAGGCCGAACTTTGCTGACAAAGGGCTCTCCCAGTCTCATCACCGACTCATCATGCGGCGAGAAGTCCAAATTGCAAGGCCACATAACATCTGATACCTGTTTTCATGACATTGAAGGAATAAGGGATCAGGTTACCAATACATGGTCCACACACCCATCAAATGCTGGATAATTGCCAGATGAAAGTCACATATATAATATAGATCTACTATATATAGCTATATAATATATATAAATATTATATATATAGTGGATCAATGCCACACTTTGTTGTGCTTAGGCTTTACATAACGATGATGAGCGATCATCAACCCATGCCTCGGACTGGGTCTCAGAATTTGCAGCCGTGGTTGTAGCTTGGGAGTCCTAGCCACCAAAATCCATAAGTCTGCAAAAACCAAATGGTCTAAACATATGTGATCATGGATGGGATTTGCAATCTCATAATACTGTAACCATTTGTTGATTGGTGATTGTATGGTACAACAGGTTGGATGTGCAAAAGGTTTTTTGAGCACTGCTCAACAGGGCACACACCCCTCATGAAAATACAAAGTCCTCAGCAGGGCTCGGAGTGAACACAGGGGACGAACAAGACCGGACTGGTGGAGGCGTATGAAAGGCCTCGCAAGCTAGGCTAAGCACTTCTGTTGTAAAGTTGTAGGGCCATAAGACATGCAGGTATTCCATATAGAACCCAAATGAACCCATCAGCCTTCTGGGCACCAGGAAAACGGTCAAAGAATGCCCTCTTAGTAGAGGCACCACACGGACTGAAGGATACGGACCGCACTGGGTCCTGGGATCATGTAGCTAATGTTTGTTAATTCATGTTGATTCCCATGGGGATGCACCTCACAAAAAATTGAAAAGTGATCACACACAAAGACATGGCATTCTGTCCTCCATTTGGCCCGGAGCTTCTTTCACCATGTTCACACTACGGTTCAGCAAGCTGGAGCAGCTGAGGGTCAAGGATGAAAATTATGTTATACCTACGCGTAATTTTCCCAAAAAGCTATCCGACGCTATCCGACACTATCCGACACAGGGGCCCTGGTGAATGAATTGTTTTGAGGGACCGCGAGGGACCTATCCGACACTATCCGACGCTATCCGACGCGACCCCTAAACGCAAAAGCTATCCGACGCTATCCGACGCTATCCGACACAGGGGCCCTGGTGAATGAATTGTTTTGAGGGACCGCGAGGGACCTATCCGACACTATCCGACGCTATCCGACACACACCCCTCCACTTAGCGATATCTGACACTATCCGACGCGCTCCGCAACACCATATCGCTATCCGACGCTATTCGACAATCCCCCAAAAGCATCTAGATTCTAGATCGCGGATTAAAATTCTAGGTGTTCATGGACAATACCCTGAGCATCGCCTTTTGATTACAATCAAAAGATTTGATTTTGAGGCCTAAGAAATCAAAATGCCTAATTGGAATTTTTCAGTCAAAAATCAATTTGAAAAACATAGTTTTTGAAAGGCAAAAATCAAAAGAGCAAATCAAAAGGAACCTCTAAAAACAGATCAAAAAAGGTGTTTCCAGATGCAGCTCTGGCAGCAAGATTTTTGAAGGCATGCCTCATATCTCTAGGTGGCTTTGCACCTAAAGTATATATATGTACACACAGCTGGCTAAGTAATCCTGCTGGCTTTTTCCAAAGCCATCTGGCCTTTTCCAAAGCAGTAGGCTGAAATCCTTTTCCAAAGTTTCCAGTCTACACTGTGCCTTTTCCAAAGCAAAGAGCTTTTCCAAACTAATCACCACTTTCCTCCTGCATGGACCTTGTCAAAAAAAGATGCACCAAAATGCGATACTTGGGTGCAACTTTTAAAGACAGGCGTGTGGATGATACTCCCATTGAGACTGAATGGGTCAATCTGGCCACCTGCCCTACAAAATCTTCAGCTTTGAAACACCACTGTGTTCGTGGGTTTAAAAACTTAGAATTCCAGACCAGATGGATGAAGCTGTGATGTTTTGGAACTATGTGAAAACTCATCCTGTCCTTTTCCAAAGACCATTGGTTCAGCCAGGCATAGCTTCTCAGGAAATCACCTGCCAGCTTCAAGCCCTTTTGGTACTGTGATGAAGTAAGAAATGTGTCAGCCTCATCCCAGAGCTTCACAGCTTTTCCAAACTGGTAGCCACCAAGACCATGTGCTGCTCACATTCTTCCATTGTGTCTTGAAAAAGCCTTTGGATAACAGGAATGAAGGCTGGCAGGAGGTGCCTGGCTTCCCCTCCTTTGCAATCCAATTGGGGATATTTGGCCCATGGCTTTTGTGTGTCTGTAAACATGCTCATCCTGAGATTGGTCAAGCGGTTTTTGCACTCCTGTTTGCTGTATTCAATTTGAATTTCACTGAAGAGAATTGCAAGTCTGTCTGCTGGCTTTTTAGTGGCTCTTTGGCCAGGGCCTTCAATGTAACAGACATAATGGAGAATTGATCCTATAACATGTCCATAGAGTCCTTTGCAGAACAAGATGTGTAGTGGATCTCCACGGACATGTTTGCTTGAGATGTGGCTCAGTTTGAAAAGGGCATGGTCACTCCATGGGTCTGCCAGGCATTCTTCATGGGTGAAGACTTTGAACTTTTGCTTTTCCAAACAAATTTCCTTGTACCCTTTTCCAAAGGTACATGGAGTAAAGTTCTGGGCATCACACTCCCAGCAAGGCCAATGGCTGTTCCAATGTGGTAATCCCAAAGAGTTAGCAAAAAACTCATGGTCTCCAATCACAGACCACAGGACAGCCCTGTATCTTTTGAGATGCAGTGGCTGGCCTGCTAGCTTGTGGAACACTGAACCCTTTTCCAAAGGTTTGTTGTCTGGATCCATGGTTGGGTGCTTGCCATCTGCCAGTGCTTCAAAGGACCATTGAAGATATTTCCAAATGACTTCCCATGTTGTCTTGCTGCCACAGCTTTTAGGAAAGCAGGCAAGGAGCCAATGGCTCAGCAAGGTGCTGGTGCTGCTGAGTAAGCAGCCCCAGGAATAGACCATTAAATTGTCATTGTTGGAAAAATCAACCCCATCGCCATGCAGAAACAGGGGGATAGTAAGATCTTCCCAGTCCTTTTCCAAAGACATAGGGTGATCTTTCAATTTGTCATCATTGGTTTTTTCAACCCCTTGCCAGAAGGCTTTGAGTTTTCCCTGGCCCAAGCTGAATAGCTCATGGAAAACTTGTGGGTAGTTAACACCCAGTTTCCAAAACATCATATGTGGCAAAAACAATGAGGCCTTTTCCAAAGCCTCCTTGGAAGTTTTTGGGTCTTTGCATGGAACTTCCACTTCATAAGGGTCAGCAATCTGCACATTGGAGCAAAAATGGTTCATGATTTGTCTATGGCAATTTCCAGGCTGGGACCCCCAATTGCCTGTTTGTGCGATTGCCACAAGGTCTTGATGCTGGGCACCATCCTGAATAGCAGAAGCTGCCAAGGACTGAAGTAATGTTGCACTGAGGACTCCTTTTGCCCAAAGGTTCAGCAATTTGTTTGCTAAAGCTGATTATGCAACAGAACCATCTGCCTTTTCCAAAGCTTTGCTGGCTCTGGCCTTAGGTGCCTTCCCTGATTCATATTCTAGCTGCCAGCCTCTGAGCCTCTTTGTCATGGCTCTGCTGCTGGCCTTTTCCAAAGCCCCTTGCCTTTTCCAAAGCCCCTTGCCTTTTCCAAAGCCCCTTCCTACAAGTTTGAACAGAAGCTGAAAACAGCTGCAGAAACATATGCCTGTTGCAAAAGAAGAAGAGTGAGGGTGGAGGCTATTGCTACCTAGGGGGATGGCTATTGCCCACACACACACACATATATATATATATTTATATATATATATATATTTATATATATATATTTATATTTAGCTTTTAAATATATATATATATGTGTGTGTGTGTATTTCTTTAGATATACATATAAATATATATATATATAGAGGGATATATATATATAGATATCCCTGACACACATATGTGGGACTGTAAAAAATAAAACAAAAAACACACCCAATATTACAAAAACTACCAGTACAATTTGAAACCTTGCCTTTACAACTTCATTTCCTTCCTTTTGGTGGTGCTGATTTCAAGAAATATGTTATAGTGCATTTTTGCCATTTTACTTTGTCCCTACCCCCCACCCTTCCCCCAAGCTGCAGACAGCTATCTTTTGTCGCCTATGGGTCTATATTGTTCTGTGCAGTGGCTTCTCCCATTTTGGAAGAGCTACTCCTAAGCCAAAGGCTGCCAATTTACCCAAAATTGCCCTTTCCCAAAGGCTGCACATGCCCCAAAGCAAGCACTTTCCCAAATGCTTTCCACCAGCACTTTTCCAAATGCTTTTGCTGCCTGGCATGCAATGATCTTTTCCAAAATCTTACTTGCTGCCCCTAGACCTCTTGCTTCCAGCCAGGGAAGCTTCCTTGTGGGCCAGCTGTTTCAGTTCTTTTGCTTCATCTTTGGCACCCTTCACCAGCTTGGCACTTTCTTCCAAGATGGCCTTCAAAGCAGAGCTTGTGGTTTTCTTTTTGCCACTCAAAGCCATCTTCAGCTGAGACAAAACTTTGGTCAGTTGGCTGGACCAACCTTCAGCTCCAGCCTTACCCTGCCTGCTCAGCTTTGGGCTGGCCTTTTCCAAAGCCAGCTCCAAATCACTTTGTGTGCTGGCCACTGTGTCCCTTGCTTTCCTTGCCTTTTTCAAAGCTTCCTTGAGTTCTTTCTCTTCATCTTCTTCCTCTTCTTCTTCATCCTCATCATCTTTGTCCTTGATGGCCAATTGCTTCTGGCCTTTTCCAAAGCCTGCTCCTTTGTCTTTTCCTTTGCCTTTTCCAAAGCCTTTGCCTTTTCCAAAGCCTTTGCCTTTCCCACCTTCTATGTCCTCCAAACCAAGGGACATGGCATCTTGGTGGTACAGGGTGTTGAACCTGTCCTGCTCCTCATCTCCAGGTTCCATTTCCTGTCCCTGTTGCCATTTGGATCCCCTTGAGACTTCCACCTGGCCATGGAAATCTTGGAGGTCTTTGTACTGGTAGACACCTGGTGTGGCTGGGTCTTGGCGCCACACAACTCTGCCAGAGTTGCAGTGCAGCACCAGCTCATCCCACCCAAACTTGTCAGTGGCCTGCTTCTCTGACATCCAGCTGTCCATTTTGGTGGTTTTTTGCTTGGCCACCACTTCCCTGGAGGCATGGAGGTACTTCCTCCCAGAGGTCTCCATAAGCCACTGGGCAGCCCTCATGCCTTTCTCCTTCTTGCTCATGCCTTCCAGTTCCCCCTTTTCCAAAGGGTTATTTTTCAAATGTGTCTGGTGTCTGGACCAAACCTTTGCATGTTCCTCCTTGGTGAGGCTGTCCTTCAAAGTTTGGGCTTGCTCTTCACTGGTTCCTCCTTGGGTAGCAGCTGCTTTGATTTTTTCATCCAGTGACATTTTGCCCAACTTTTCCAAATTGGACCTGTTCAGATCATTTTTGGACTTGGCTTTGGCTGCCTTTTCCAAAGCAGCATTTTTGGAGCCAGTTGCTTTTTTCTTTGCCTTGGCTTTGGCTTTTTTCATTACTGTCTTTGGATTTTTCACACTACTGGGCTTTCCCAAACCCATGTTGCCTTTTTTCATTGCTTTCATGTTTTTCTTAGGTCCCATAGATCCTAAACACAACTTGGCAACTAAGGTTGCTTCAGTTTTTGAGCCAAAATTTCACTGGGATTCAGCAAAGCCAATTTGCATTGAAACCAAAAAAATGGTTGGAATTAAAAACATACAAGAAAAAAACTTGTGAAACCAGAAAAAACTCACTTGAATTCAAAAAAAATCAGACAATATCAAAAAAAACAGAAAAATCAAATCTGATCAAATCTGATCAAATCTGATCAAATCTGATCAAATCATCAAATTTGATCAGATTTGATCAGATTTGATTTGATCAGATTTGATCAGATTTGTTTTTTTGATTTTTTTGAATTCAAGTGATTTTTGTTTGAATTCAAATGAAATTCCAGTGAATTTGTTTTTGGGTTTTACTGATTCCTGGAATTTTGTCAGCAGAAGCCTTTGGAAAAGGGCTCTTATCAAAATTACAAACAAATAAAGTTCACATGCACATGTTTTGTTTTGCTTTTGTTTTCAGTGTTTGTGTTTGGCACCTTTTTTTATCTCTATCTAATTTTCTTTTCTGTAAAACATATTTTAAATATAAACATTCAAATATATACATAGATTTGTTTATAATGTTCCATTATGGTTTGACTAAAGGTAAACATTTCTGAAGCCTTTCCTGATACAATTCAAATTGCTATCATGAAAAATATATTCATTTTAGAATTTCTTTAGATATGTTTATAATTAAACTATTTATTTTATTATTTATATTTCATTTTCACTATTCTTCATTAGTTGGTTGTTTTTTTCCAGCTGGCCACTTGTGGGCCTGCTGGTTTCTGTACACTTTGCTGGTGAAACTGAATTCAAACTCTTTTCCAAAAGTTTTGAACCCTTTTCCAAAGGTTCTGCTGGTGAAACTGGATTGAAACTCTTTCCCAAAAGTTTTGAACCCTTTCTCAAAGGCTTGGGGCCCTTTTCCAAAGGCTCTTGTTTTGCTTTTGTGCCCTTTTCCAAAGGCTTTTTGTGGTGCAGCCCTTTTCCAAAGGCTCTTGTTTTGCTTTGGTGGCTTTGGTGCCCTTTTCCAAAGGCTTTTTGTGGTGCAGCCCTTTTCCAAAGGCATGGCATGGCTCAGGTCTTTTCCTAAACCTTTTGGAGGCTGCCTTTTCCAAAGCTTTTACCTTTTAAATTTCAAGGTAAGCCTCCACTGCCTCAGCAAAGTCACTGAAAACCATGCTTTGAGGCATATCACCATGCCTGCACCACTTTGTGCAGATGGCAAAAACCATCAAGCCACCTTGCAAGCACTCCTGGGCCACCTCTGGTGAATCATCAAAAATCACAGAGGCCCCAAGGTACTTGCAGACTTCCTTTTTTCCCCCTGGACCTGTCCTTTTCCAAGTGCAGTGAACTTTCAACTGCTCGAACAGGTCCTTGGGAAGGAAGTCCCTGGCATCTTTCTTGACCTGCCTTTCCCTTTTTTCACTTTCCACATAGCTCACTATGTGGACCTCTTTGGTGGCCTTGACCAGCCCCCTTAAGGCCTTGATGTGGCTTTCTGGCACCATGTCCCTGACCTCAAGGGTATGGTGCCAGTCCACCACACAGATGGCCTTCTCCTCTTTGCCCTTTTCCAAAGGCTTTTCTGCTGGGACCAGCTTTGCTTTGGGAGGGTTTTTGGCAGCTGGCTTCAAAACCACTCCCTGGGGGTCCTTTTCCAAAGACTTCTTTTGTGTTTTGGTGCCCTTTTCCAAAGACACATCTTGCTCCTGCTTTGTTTTCTTCCCCTTTTCCAAAGGGAGTTCCTCCTCCTCCTCCTTTTCCATAAGCAGTTCCTTTTGGCCATGCTTGGCCCTCCTTCCCCTTCTGATTGTGCCCTCAGCCTCAGCCTTTTCCAAAGCTGGCTCATCACCTTTTGCTTTTTCCAAAGCACTTCCTGCTGCCTTTTCCAAAGCAGCTTTTTTGGTGGACTTGGACCTCTGCTTCTTTTTTTTGCCCCTGTAGTTCACATTGGTGGAAGAAGAGGCCTCTTCTGCCCTCTTCTTCTTCTTCCCTTTTTTTCTTCATCTCTTCCAGTTTCTTTTTGGCTTTCTCTGCAGCCTTTTCCAAAGCTGCAGCTTGGGAGGCCAGGGTCTCCTCTGTGTCTGGGACAGCCTTGGTAAGGTTGTCCCATTGGAGATTCCTTCTGGCCTCCCTTCTGTTGGAATGGGTTGTGCCTGTGCCTGATGGCCTGTTCTTGCAGTTCAGGCCATAAAACCCATACCTGTTTGGCTCCCCCCAGTCCTGCCAGTCTTCCCAGTCATCCCAGTCATCCCACTGGTTTGACATGGCAGCTGGGTTCTTTCAGCCAAGGCCTTTTCCAAAACCCAGGTCTTTTCCAAAACCTAGGTCTTTTCCAAAACCTAGGTCTTTTCCAAAACCAAGGTCTTTTCCAAAACCAAGGTCTTTTCCAAAACCTAAGGCTTTTCCAAACCCAGTGAAAGGGTTGTTTTAACCCTTGGATTCCCCAACCCCAACTACAAAAGTTTGTGTTGTTGCTGTGACCTAGTGAGTGTTACTTGTTATGTTGCTTGTCCCGACCTATATGCTGCTGTGAGTTGTAGCTGTGAAATTGTTAGCAAAATTGTTATGTGTTGTAAGTGTGGTGTTTGCTGTGAGCCTGCTCTTAGCTGAGTTTAAAACAGCTGCAGAAACATAAAATGCATTGGAACTCAAAACTAACTGCCCCTTTTTCAAAGAGCACATAAGACATGCATGTTTTTTAGGTGCAAACAGTTTCTTACAACTTTATACAAGAACAAACCATGCATGTTTGACAACATGTTTGAAAACAGGCTTGGGTGCATATATATATATATATATGTCTATTGATATACACATACACACACATACATACACACACACATACATACATACATACATACATACATACATAGTATACATATATACATATATATATATATACACATATATGCACATGTGGTATATTCCTATTTAAAAAACAGCTGTGATTATATATATATAAATATGTGTGTAAAAAGTATATATTTTATTACTTAAGGGGGGTTGAAGTGGTATGTTTTTGGGTGACACCAGCCTAACCCCTCCTGGCCCCAGTGCCTTCTTGGATGCACTTTTTTCCTCAAGCAAAATTGGTCAGATCTAGGCTGGCCCCATGTTGGGGCTTGCCTTGCCAGACACTTCTCAGAAGCATGCCCTTTTCCAAAGGCAGCCACTTGCTTCAAAATTGCTGGAGCAGAGCACTTTTCCAAATGCTTGAGGTGCACATGCAGCATCTACCAGTTGGCACCCCATTCCTTGCAAAGTTTCTCCCTCAGGGCTATGGCCTCTGACTTTGTCAATGCTTCCTTTTCCAAAGAAGCCCAAATCTCATCAACCATTTGGCTGTGCCAATCTGGGCACCTAGCACCAGACACTTCCACAATCAGCTTCAACTTTCCACCTTTTTCTGTGGTGCCTGTCAAGTAAGATCTGGGTTTTTTCCAGGCCACTGCTTTCTTGATCTTGAGCCAAGGCTTTCTCTTCTCCTTTTCCAAAGAGGTTTTTGCATGGTTCTTCTTTTCTGTCTTGCCTGCATCTTTCTTGGGCCTTGCTTTCTCTACCTTTTCCAAAGCAGATGCAGGCCTTTTCAATGCCTTTTCCAAAGCAGATGCTGGCCTTTTCAATGGTTTTTTCCCATACCCCAAGGCAGCTTGCAAACCATCCTTTTCCAAAGATACCATTTGCCCAGGCCTTCTTCTGGCAATGCACATTGCAGCACCAGAGGAAGTGCCTGTTTTCTTTGGAGTGCCTGCATTGCTGTCTTCAAACATCTTGGGGAAACCTTTGCTATCCATGGAAACATCACTGTTTTCTTTTTTCAGCTTTCTATTTGAGTTTTCTGCTGCTCTTCCCTTTTCCAAAGGAAGTGCCACTGGTTTAGGTACCTTTTCCAAAGCATCTGGGATTTCCAGCAGCTTCAAACCTTGCTGCAGCAGTGAGAAATCATCTCTGCAGAGTTTGGCAGCAGCAGATGTGAGCCCATCTCTGCCCAGCTTCCTCACATGGAAGAGGATGCAAGAGATCCTTTCCATTCTCAGGTTAGCCCACACCTGGCCAGAGCTCGAGGTGCAATTGAGCTCTGGCCTCTCAGCCAGCAGGCTGATCAGTGCTGTCCTCAGAGGTTGAGGATGGACCTCTCCAGAAGGTTCTAGTTTCAGCACTGACTTCCAGAGCCCAATGGTGTGGACTAACCCTTTTGGGCAAGGGCAATTGGCTTTGGAGACATGCTCATAGCTGCCCAGGTTCTTCAAAACCAACACATTGTCTGCCAATACTTTGTATAGCAGACCTGAATCGATGTAAGGTTTTGGAAAGTGTCTGGCACCACCTTTTCCTGTGCCTTTTCCAAAGCCTTCATCGCCTTTTCCACAGCCTTCAGCTTGGCCTTTTCCAAAGCCTTCACTTTTGCCTTTTCTAAAGCCTTCACCTTGGCCTTTTCCAAAGCCTTCACTTCCACAGATGTCACTTTTGCCTTTTCCAAAGCTTTCCATTTTTGATGTGTGTATATATATATTTATTGTATGTTGATTTCTATATGTTTGAGCTACAAACAGCTGCAGAAACATATGAAAAAAACATGTGCAGCAGCAGCAAACTTGCTACTAGACAGGCCTGGAAAAACACCAAAAAAATCAAAAGAAAAGCATCCATCCAAAACAAGCAAAATCAAAAAGGAAATTCCTGCCAAATTGCCTCCAAGTCATGATTTTTCCCGTTTGATTTTACCTCTTCAAAAAAAAACAATTTAAAAATCATAGGGGCTAATTGATTGTAATCAAAAGGCGATGCTCAGGGTCAGTTGGGCCTTCTGGTCGACCCAGGCAGTTATGGGAATCTCGCGGGAAGCGGATGGGTTGAGGAGGTGGAAAAGACCCTCCAAAGCCAAGGAAAGACCGCATCACGAGAAACCCGCAGTGCACCCCTTCGCGTCGGCGGTGTCGGCAAGGGAAGCCAAAACTGTCGGGAAGACGTGGTCATTCCGTTGGCCATCCCAAGATCCGATGGGACAGTGAAAGGTGGCACCTATTCTGCCCCGGTCATCGAAGGGTCAAATGCACCAGCCCTATTGGGCCTGAAGTCCTTGACGCAGCACAGGGCAGTCCTCGACCTGGTGTCCAACCAGCTACACTTGCTGGGGCCAGGAGAGTCCCGCTTCGAACTGGCAGAAGGGACAGAGACCTTTAATTTGACCCGGGCAGCCACTGGACACCTGCTGTTGCCTTTCCAAGAGTTCTCACGTCTTGCGAGTGGGTCTCAGGGAGTGCGCCATCTGTTCAGTGAGGAGGGCATCCACGAGTCAGGGTACATGACCACTGTCAAGACCGAGCAATGCAAACAGGAGCCGACCAACACCCCGGAAGAGGCAGACAGAGCGTCAGAGCCTGCTGCAGCAAGTCCGGTCGAGCCCAGCATTGCAGTTGCATCCGATGCACCTGAGGAGAACCAGGAAGGTCAGAGCAGAGAGGCAGATTCCCAAGCGCCGACGTCACCAGCTGACGAACCAGCCCCGGAGGCAGGAGAGACTGTGACGCCAGTCCCTGCCGCTGAGGCCGAAGAAGCCAAGAGCAGCAGTCCGGAAGTGACAGCTGCAAACGAGGCTGTTCCGCCAGTCTCTGTTGAAGCAACAGCCGAGCCCAAGGCAGAGCCCGCAAGCCGTCACACAGGTGACTTCAAGAATCTGATCTTGGACGAGATCGCAGACCGCGAAGGATACCCCGAAGAAAAGGAGCTGACCAGGGATCCAAGTGGGGCTCGCTCACGCCGTGGCAGGCGGCGCCGCCGGAAGAGACGCTGTGAAGCAGAAGAGGAAGAAGACCCAGCGGGGTCGCCAGACGAAGAGGGCCGCGGACGAAGACGAAAACGGTCACCTGTCTCGCCAGGTGCCATTCCAAGGGAGACAAAACGATGGGCATCCCAAGGGTCCCAGACTAGCCATGAGGAAGGGGTCGAAAGAGCGCCAAGCTCAGCAACTGACCAAACGTCAGCATATGACACTGACCGTGGAAGTGTGGTGCTTACACCACGTCGTGAGGGGCCAATTGACAAATCATATGTGGCGTTGCCTTCGGAGACGATCACACCCAAGAGTGGATCAGCAAGCAGCAGTGCACGCCCTGCTGAAGTGGCCAAAGCATGCGAGTCCGTGGCAGCGCAACTGCCCAAGGAGCGCGGTGCAGGTAAGTCAAGCCCACCGCTGCCGCCTCCACCGCGGCGGTTGGTGACGAGGGAAGATGATGGCCAAGAGTATGAGGTGGTGAGAGGGGAGCGACTGCCGCCGCCGCCGCCGCGGCCGAAGCGACTCCTCCAGCCACCACCAGAGCCAAAGAATCCGCCAACGGCCAAGACTGGAGCTGCAGGAGCTCGACCCTTGCAGCGCGGAACCGATGCTGAGATCGCGAAAGCTGAAGCACACCTCACAGAGGTGATGGCGAACCCAAGTGCGACTCGCACAGCCAAGCGCAAGGCGCGAAGAGAGGTGCGTCAAGCCAGAGGCGAGCCGCCTCCCAGTTGACTATCCAGCCTGGCCGAAGAAGAGCTGAGGTTGTTGAGCATCAGCAACTTCGATGCTCATGCATGTGCATTTGAAGGAATGGATTGCCGAGTCACCCGTGTGAGGCCTGTGGAACTGACACGGGGAGGGTTCGATTCCATCCTTGAATTCATCAAAACAGACAGGTACGATATGGTGTGGGTTGATCTTGCTCATCCCAAGCGCTTTGTCGGAGCGACAAATCTATCTCGGGTCATGCAGAGGTTGCGTGTCCTGGTGACGGCAAGTCAACGGTATGATGTTCCGCTTGTCATCGCCAGTTCGCACTCTTCAGCATGGGAGCATTCAAGTGTGCAGTCCCTGGTGGACGTCTGTGGTTTGAAGTTGAGCACCCACAGGTGGTGCACCTTCGGACTTAAGACGACGGGTGGGAACCCCAGTGCCGTCGTCCACCGGTGTGCAAGCACCTTTGAGTGGCAGAGCACGCCCTGCCAATGCCCTGCAGATGCTGAACATGTGCATGACTTGGCCCTGCGTGATCCCTGCTGCACTGCCCAGAGACGCCATACATATGAAGCTGAAGCAGCGGCCAATCTCCTGGAGTCCGCATGGATTTGCGAATCCGTGTCTGGGAAGTCAGCCGACTCAACAGTATCAATGGAAGGTACAGTCGTAGGCAGTGACAGCCAGCAGATAGCATGTCAATCCGCGCATCCAGCGCAACACGTAGAGCACAACGCGACGAGTTCCGACTCGTCAAGAGCTCGAGATCCCGCACCAGAATCTTCAGTGTTTAAAAGTTTAACCTTGCCCGCACAGAGCACTGTAAGCAAGACACCACACAATTTTTGCGCTACGTTTTTCCAATGCCGTTGCTGCGAACTGCTTGTTCCAAGTGAGACTGCCTGGTGCAACACCTGTGAAGCACCAGTGGAAAATGAACAAGCTCATCTGATCCAAGTCGGATGCTACCCTACAGAGCAGCGGTTGGCTGCCAAGCAGCGTGCTAAAGATGGCATTTTGCCAAAGAGAAAGAAGAAACAAGTCGAACAACATTTCGACGACTGTGGAGAAGATCTGACACCAATTTGTGACAAGGACCCAAAACTGTCCATGTTCATCGACGGATATTCATCCGATGAAGAAGATAACATTGGACACAAAATCTTATCATCCTGGGTTACACACGGTTTCCAGTGTTCGGAAAGTGACCTGCCTCCGTCAACACATCCAGGCATGGTCATTGCGGTCGACTTTGAAGAAGCCTATCCGATCTTGATCAATCGACCATATGGTGTTGAAATCGTTGAATTCTGTGGTGGTCAGGGACTGACCACTCAAATGGCAGTCAAGCGTCAGCTCAGCACAGGCCACAATTTTGAGCTGTTGACTGGCTGTGATCTCACAGACACCAGCACCCAGAGGAAAGTGTTATCGTACCTTTCCATAGCAAAGCCTTTGGTCATCGTGATGGCGCCCAGATGTGATCCCTTCGGCCCACTGGGACGCTGGAACCGAGTGATACATCCAGAAGGATGGGACCGCAGCTACCAAGAGTCCGCGCCTCTTGCAGAGTTCTGCGGCCGAGCTGCTCTCCATCAAATCAGTGAAGAAAGACATTTCCTATGTGAACAACCTCAATCATCAACCCTCTTCCAAGAGGAGCCCTGGCCGAGGGTACTGCAACATAAAGGTACTGTCAAAGTTGTTTTCCACCAGTGCCGTGTTAAGCAGTACATCAATGGCCAGTTGTGCAAGAAAGCCACCGAGTTGGTGGCCAGTACACGAACCCTTCTGGAACCTTTTGAGGGCCTAGTCTGTACTGGTGATCACCCGCATGCAGTGCTGACCGGTGGTCAAGCAAGCAAGGCGCAGAAGTGGAGTCGCGACATGTGCGACAGAATAGCCTTCGGCATTCAGCAACTAGTGGCTGTGGGCGGCGGTGACGAAGCCCAGGAAGATCCAGAACCTGAGGAGGCCGGCAACGAACCCTGGCGTAAGTGCAAGGGGTGCCGGTGGAGACTGCCAAAATATGACCCTCAACACAGCAGAGTTGCAGGTGAATGCAAACATCCAGACACTGAACCAGTGACCTTTGATTGCCCGGCTTGCAAGGCCAGAAAACCACGTGATCATGCCAGCCACACATACGATGACAAGTGCAGGCATGCAGTCACAGCCGCCAGAAAGAAGGTTCCCAAGAGATCAAGGGCAAGAGTGCCAGCGTCAGACGAACCAACCTCAGGATTGCGAGCCCGAGGTATGGGAGATGCAGATGAACAAGCTGCAGAAGAACAGCTGGAAGATGCCCCTGAGGCACGACCTGAAGAAGCCGGCGGAGTACGTCCCGCCGTGGAAGCTGCTGCTGAGCCAGCTAGCGCAGAGGGCAACGAGTTGCAGCTGGTTCCTGCCGACAGAGCAGGAAGGGGGCCAGATCAGATCCAACGAGTGCGAAGGTCTTATCGTGAGGGTGAGGCCCAAACGCCAGATCCGTCTGACTGGACCTCATTTGACATCTCTGCCAGCCTGCGAGGCCTGCGATTATCCAATGAGGCGGGTCAGCGCAGGATCATCCGCAAGCTGCATTTACGCTGGTGGCACGCAAGCAGCCACAGAATGATCCAGTTGCTCAAGAGCGCAGGCCTACCGCAGTCCATTCTGGATATCGTGCCAGAAGTAGTGGACACTTGCAGAATCTGCCGGTTGTGGCAGAAGCCATCCAGTGACAACATCGCGGTGAACCGCGTGGTAACCGGATTTAATCTGGAAGTGGAAGGCGATCTGATCTTCATCACACACCAGGGCGCAAGTCCGCCCGTTCTACACCTCGTTGACAGAGGGGTAAGGTGGGGCTTTGCCTGTGTGTTGCACGACAGGACAACTGCATCAATCCTGAACGGCCTGGACCAATGGATATCAGTGTTTGGACCCATGCAAGTCCTGATCTTTGATGGAGAAACTGGACTTGATGACCCAGCAGCAACCCAATATTTCGAACTAAAGGGAATTACGAAAAGGACATCCGCACCTGGCCAGCATGTGCGAATATGTGATCGACGAACCCAAGTCCTTCGTGACACGGTTCACAAGATTTCATCCCAGCTGTCTGAGGAAGGAATATCGCTTCCACTCAGCAGAGTGCTGGCAGAAGCAACATATGCAGGCAACGCATTGACATCCATTCGAGGGGTGTCGCCGTACACAGCAGTCTTGGGAAGAGTACCGCCTCTTCTACCGGACGCTTTGTCTGTGACAGATGACACAGAAGCACACGTGACTGCGCAACACACCCATCGATTGCGCGAAATAGCCATCCAATGCATTGCCGAGGCCAGCGCACAAGACCGGCTGAAACGTGCAAGCCACACACTCACCAAACCAGCAGGCGAGGAATTCGAGTACCGCCTAGGTGAGCAAGTGGAATACTACCGTCCACCCATGAGTAAAGACGTCTCAGGGTGGAGGGGGCCGGCCACGATCTGTGACCTGTCTCGTCTGGAGCATGGACGAGTTGGAATCAGGACCCGCAGCGATGATGTGCTTACATGCCGCCTGCAAGATGTCCGCAGATGTCTAGCATACATGGTGGATATGGAGTCACCACTGTCAAGCACAGCAGGTCAAGCGCAGCAGGTACTGCAAGAATTCGTGGATAACATGAAAGCAGGACCTGAAAACACAATGCTTCTTGGCAACATCCCTAGTAACACTGGGTGGCGCATGTCCAAAGTCACAGAGCGACACCAAATGGTGTACCAAGCCGCAGTGGTCGTAGCCGAATTGATTTTTCAGTTGCAGAACCTTGCAGCTGTCAGAATTGGCAAGGGTGTTCGAACCTTGTCGAAGAAGAGTGAATATGCAGCAAGCATGACGGTCTTTTGGACCGCAGCAGGAACAAGATCTTTGGAGTTTCTGAACAGCGAAGACACCAGTGTGTCATTCGTAGCCATGTTAGGTCAGAACTGGACAAATGTTCGCTTTGTTCAATACCTGACCGTCACAGCCGAAGACGATTTTCAGAACTCCATCAAAGAGGATGAAGTGATGAGTGACGTCTCATCCACATCCAACCAAGCGACGGGACCAAGCACACACGACAATGCAAGTGTGGGAGGTCCCTTAAGCACAATCCCCGAAGGAAGTAACGAAGAGGAAGCGCATGTGACAATCCAGGAACTGGAAAAGGCATTCGGAATACCGGCAGATCATCCCAATGTAAATTATCTGGCCGAAGCATTCGTTGCCATATCAGCCGAGGAGGAGGACACTGTGCCGCCAGTGTTCACGACCCTTGAAGAAATCAGTGGCCCGGCTCTGACCAGGAGCCTTAAGGCCATGGAAGAAGTAGCCATCCCCAGTTGGCAAGAAGTCGCGTATGTGACAGAAGATGACAGCTTCCTGAGCAGTAATGCCCTACTCGAGCAGTTGCAGCAAGTTACAAACGAACTGCCCACGCTGGAAGACCAAGATGAGTATGGAGCATATGCTGCCTTGGAGGCGTACTATCCAGAATGCAAATATCTGGAAGGTCTTGACCGACTCCCCAACTGCGATGAGCATGTGGAGCTTCGATTTTACGAAGCGCACACCAGAAAGGTAGTCATCGATCGGAACGATGATCTTCTGACAGAACAGGAAACATTGGAGCACTCAACTGAGGTGCTTCAAGCAATGCTCGATGAACTAAACACTTGGAATGGTTTCCGCTGTTTCAAAAGAATTAAGAAGTCGGAAACAAAATGCATCATTGACACAAAGTGGGTACTGAAATGGAAGCTCAAAGGCGGGGTGCGGCACATACGTGCCCGCCTCTGTCTTCGTGGCTTCAAAGAGTCAGGATGTGACAACGACACCAATCACAGTGCTACAGCATCCAGGTTGTCTCAACGACTGTTGGTGTCGGAAACAGTACTGCGATCGTGGGTGCTCGCATCCACGGACATCCCTAAAGCGTTTCTGCAGGGAGTTTCGTATCAGGAGTTGGCGGGCACCACCAACAAGCCACTGCGTGACGTCAGCTTCACGCTGAACACCCAGGGAACAACGTGTCTCAGGCAGATTAAAGGATTCGAGGATTTTGATCCACGGTCCGAAGTGCTACATTGCTTAAAGCCTGGCACGGGGTGCCGCGATGCACCTCGGTGCTTCTCAATGCAGTTGCGGAAAGTAACAGCAGCCTTCGGTCTGAGGAGTTCGTTCTTGGATCCAGAGTTTGAGCTGTTGTACGATGAAGGTGGAACACTGCAGTTAGTGGTGATCAAGCACGTGGATGACCTGAAGATCGCGGGCCCAAAAGAACTGATTGCAAAGTTTGTGGACCATGTGGCAAGAGCTTTTGGAAAATTGGTCATTGAGTACAACACGTTTACCTTTTGCGGTGTTCGACACACGCAAGATAAGGACATCGTGTTGGATCAAGCAAAGTTCATTGCAGCCATCAAGGAAATGGCTGTCCCGGAAGCATATGCCAAGACGGATGAGCCACTGCCAGAACACCTGCAGAAGCAATTTCTGAGTCTGCTCATGACAGTGGCATACGCATTGCTGACGAGAATGGATGCTGCAGTGTATGTAACAGCCCTGCAGCGAGAATGCCAAAAGCCGAAGCCAATTCACGTGAGACGGTTGAACCTGCTTCTGCGTTGGATGCAGAAGAACCCTCGTGGATTGCGGTATCGCCCAATGGATAAGTATCCTGATAGCCTGGTGCAGTTCAGCGACTCAGGGTTCAAGGCGCGTTCCGAAGATGGACTGAGTGTCAGAGGGCTTGTCTCCATGCGGATGCATTCCAGTGAGTTGAGGTCGCCCACAAAGGCGACTTGCCATGTACTGGAATTTGTGTCCAAAGCACAAAGACATGTCACTCGCTCAACCTTCAGCAGCGAACTCTTTGCTGCTACAGATGCCATCGACATGGGACTGCTCACAAGACTGGCTCTGCACGAACTCCAGTATGGACTCATGAACGACAACCTGGCAAAAAGAATCCTCGAGGGATTCACCAAAAGTGAGATCCAGTTGCATGCGGTCCTGGACGCAAAGTCAGTGACGGCAGCAGTCACCGCGCCAATTCTGAAAACACCAGCTGAGCCAGCACTGCTTGTCCATGTGAGATGGGTAAGACATCTGCTGCAGTCGAAGGTCCTTCAAGGACTGCACTGGACAGACACAAGGTCCATGATTGCAGACGGACTAACCAAAGGCAGTATCGATCGATCAGCACTGGAAGCCGTGATGTCTGGCTGGTTAGAGATCGAATATGCCTTAGAGAACGAGGCACTGCAGTTGTTAGGTCAACCGACCTAAGCCCCTTTTTACACAATGGTCAGTGGTGCCGCCCACTGATCATCCAAAGTAGGAAAATTCCAGAGCTACGAGCCTGGAATAGCAGAGTAGGAGTACGGTTCACCAGGTTTGTGGCATGAGGCTGAAGCTAAAATCCCGTTCACCAAAGGTGGAACGCTGGGAAGCCAGCCGACTCAACATGTCATAGACCTACTGTACATACCGTAGCTTCGAGCTGCTCAAGACCTAATCTCGACATTGTTTCACCCTGTAGCCTGTGTGGTTGGAGTGGAAAAGAGTTGGGATTGCTAGGACGTTGCTTCCTAACTTGTTTTCGAGTTTTAAATAAGATGATGAAATATATATACCCTCTGGTTATTTTTCATAGCGAACTGGAAGCCATAGTTACTGCCATGGTCCATAGAAATAGCTGATTTACCCAGCTACAACATGATGATTTCCCTTTTAAAAATTGTGATTTTCTCCACTTTGCAAAGCGTGAAAAATCACCAGGATATTTCTCCAGGCCTGACAGGTCGTCCTAATTTTTTTCTGGGGATATTCCCCACAACATAGGCCATACTAATAGGGGGTAAATTACAATCATTAGGGTGTACAAGCATCAAACCATCCCCACATGGTGGGTGTGTTATTGGGTTTACCACAGTCATTGCTACTACCCTCTGGTAATTTAACGTAGCTATTGAACATGGTGATTTATAGTGGATTTTCCCATTAAAAATTGTGATTTTCCATAGTTATGTTAGTTTACCAGAGGGTAATATTAGTCAATACTCAGCTCTACTCGTCCCTAGAAAAATCCCCCATGAAAATCACTACATAAATCATCTGGGCAAACTATAGTAATTCACTAACCTGAAACTTGCGGCTATCTTGGGGATGCTTCCCCGAATCCTAAGCATGGTTCCAGGGTGAGGTCGCAGTGAGGTAGTTATAATTTACCCAGAAACATGTATTTTATATATTTGATGTATGGCCAAATTCCATGGAATGTCTATCAAATTCCTATTTTCTGTTGTTGAATACCACCACTACATGATTGCTTTGGTGAATTATCGTTCTTGATCGATTTCTTTGGTACCCAAATTCTTATCTTGTAATTACTTACAACATTTTATATACATGCATTTTTTTTTTAATCCTATTTTAAACTGTAAGTTGCCATCACTAGATGTGCCGTAATCAAACAATGGACTATGTAGCCATATTGGAGGATGGTCATCATTTTGTTTTCATATGTATATATTTATATTTATACTGGACTGTACCCATTATCTTTGGTTTCCCATTATGGGATGGATGACTATAGCATATACAATCTTTTGACGATGGCACACACACACACACTCATACAGATATCTGTAAATATTTATATTTATATTATACATACATGACTATACATTATTCCTTTGTATCACCACTATATCCTCATTCTGTTCCTATTGTGATCCCCGTGTATTGATAAACATGGTGCATACCTTTTGTCGTTGAGCCGAGTCCCACATTCCTCTTGAAAGGTCTGCTGGAAGTGCTAAAGGACACGTCATCTTTACCGGAGGTGCGGGCGCTGCAATGACATTTAGTGAAATGGGAATATCTAACTAAAAAAAACACATTTAGTATGATATTTGTATATATATATATATATAAATATTTGTTCTGATTTTTTTTGTGATGGTTTACCGGTTTACCATTTTCCCCCCAAATTGCAAGGGACCCGGGGGTGTGCCCCGATTTCAGACACACCCATATGTCTTTTGTATCATGTGTTTGTTTTTTGGTGATTAGATGGGTGTATACTGTATCACATATCCGAGCAAAAGCAAAACTCTTTGCAGGTCATTAGATAAAACTAAGATTTCGAGGTATGTTTAGCTAGAAGGGGATATAAAAAAACATATGATTATATCCATTTATATGTTTTTAATATCCAATGATTACATATGTTTATCCAATGGATTTATCCAATGAATATATATATAACGGAGATAAATCCAGTGATTTTCAGCCATTTACTTTTTTTATTCCAACCACTGGGCCCAAGCGGGTTGATTTTTAAAATTTTAAGCATTTCTAAACTATTCTAATAGATTTGAATCTATATGTTTTTTTGCAGATTTACTCTAAATTCTCCAGATTTATCATCCAATATCATGTGCCATCCAAATTTCATTGGTTACTCCGTTGGGGAAGCCCATTCGATATCGCCTTAACGATCTCGCGCCAGGCGCAGCAGAAGAACTTGGCCACGATCCAAGAGGTTTCACCGTGATCCCGAGAATGGAGCTGGCTTATGGAGCTGGTTGGTGGTTATATAACCCATAAGATCCATGGTGCTGGTATATATGCTAACATTTGGGGTATATTGATGGTAAACCATATATATATATAGCAGCACCATGGATCCTATGGGTAATGGTGGAAGTATATCCCAATATTCCGTAAAAATCCAAAAAAATCAGGCGCTCGTTTTTCATTTATCATTTTTTGGTGGGGTTTCAATGGTTATATGAAGGTATATGATGGTTATTTGATGATATCCAGTTTTAACCTATGACGAACAAAAACCATGGACTAATGGACTAATGGACTATTAGTACTAACATGGTCATCATTGATGGGGTTTCAATGGTTATATAATGGTTATATGATGGTCATTCATTGGCTTAATATCACTAGTGATCAAAGGGTGATATGCTGGTTGGTCGTTTGGAACATGTTTTATTTTCCATTTCATATATGGAATAATCCTGCCCATTGACGAACTCCATCATTTTTCAAGATGGGTAGGTCAACCGGCAACCAGATATGGCTTCTCAACCAACCATTGCTATGGGCTGAACCTGAACATCGCTGGGAAAACTTTCGGCTGGGAATCCCATTCCCATTTTCACCAACGATGTGGATGTGACCAACGGAGATGCCAGAGCACCTGCAATGTGAGGCCCCCGTTCGATAGCGTTCAGTTGGTTTATAACTCCAATAACTATGGTTTATGGTATTTATAACTATAGTTGCTGAGGCTTTTCTTAACCAACAAACATATCTTGGGGGCCTCACATTGTGGGATCCAGCAAATCACCAGGCCTGTTGTGCCTTAGAAGGTGGAACCAGGGCCCCAGGGTCCCAGGGCCCGTCCCACTTTGTTTTTTGATGAGGAGGAATTGACGATGATTTCATCTGGGTAAATTATAACGACCTCACTGCGACCTCACTGGATTCATGGTTAGTAAGGGAAATCATCCCCAAATGGCCTTAATTCAGGTTAGTGAAATATTATAATTTACCCAGATTTCATGATCAATTACCCTCTGGTTATGACTAGCTCTAGCTATTGAACATACCCTAATTATAGTGAGTTGTCCCATTAAAAATGGTGATTTTCCATAGTTATGTTAGTTTACCAGAGGGTATCAATTACCCTCTGGTTATGACTAACATAGCCATGGTTTTTAGATGGCCCATAGAAATAGATGGTTTACCGTTCTTGAAAATGCTCGATCTTTCCATGGCGAACTGTTAAATAACCAGATGGTAACCCGTCGGTTGTATGATAGGTTATATGATAGGTCTTATGGCATTTTGATACCCTTTGGTAAACTAACATAACTATGGAAAATCACAATTTTCAATGAGTAAATCAACTATAAATGGCCATTTTCAATAGCAAACTGTTCGTTTACCAGAGGGTAATAATATCAAACACACGGGGATCTCGTTGAGCAAAATTCTTTGTGCTGTGCTATGTCAGTGATGTTTGTGAACATGGTGACCATCAGCTTATTCTCGGCCATCTGTTTTTCGCCAGCTGGTGCTTAACATAGGTAGGCAATGATGGATAATTTTCGCCAGCCCATAAACATGTTATTGGGTGAACACCAGATTTTTACCACACAAAAAATACACCCCACAGTATGTATATATATATATATATCCCATGACGGATCCATGGTGCTGGTATATATGCTAACATGACTGGGGTTTTTGTTGATGGGATCCATGGAGCACCATATTAATAGCAGCACCGAAAAAGGATCCGTCATGGGATCCATGATTGTTAATCATTGCCTTAATTTAATCACCATAAATCACCATTAAAAATCACCATTATGTACATATATATATATATAACTCAATGGGTCTATGAACCAACTGATAAGCATTAAAAGTTAACCATCACAGCAACCCCCATTTTTTTACAACGGAGATCGCAGGTGGCACGGGAGCGTTTGGCTCAACTTTCCAAGGAGGCTGAAGAGGTGAGCCGGGAGATGGAAGTTTCCCACTGATAAATACCTGGACCTAGACCCTCCGTTTGTACCAATTTTTTTTTGGTATTTACCAATTTTTTGGGTATTTACCAATTTTTTGGGTATTTACCAATTTTTTGGGTATTTGGAGGGTCTAGAGTCTAGATACTCGTATTTCCCATTTCCCAGCTGCGTGTGGGAAATGGATGGAAATGGGAGTTGCTATGGATTTGGGGGCCCAAATCATCTTGAACCACCATTTTGGGCTGTAGTTTATGAGGGTAAAATTTTGTTTTTTTTATTTCATGGGGATGCAGATGTAGTTCACATGGGATGCTTGCTGTACCAAATAACGGGGCATGATTATACACATGGACATATCGCCAAGAAATGCCAACACTATGATATTTAGGTGTGGACCTGAAGATTGTGTATACCAATGCATACCACTGTATACCACCAATTTTTTACAAATTTCATGGTGGATTCCCCATATGCATGTGATAATCTATGGTATTTCATGAGCTGATGATCAACCTGGCTCTGCATGACCTGATATTTGGGATGTTCCAACACAATGTGCAAGGTGAGGCCTCCAACCGATTACTAGGTGAGTTCTATGGTTTACAGTAGATGCAAGGTGGCGCCCCCCCAAGTTATAAATGGGTTATAATCCCATTAACTAGTTCGATATATCACCAACAAAAACCATAGTGACATTGGACTTATTTGCACCAACTTAGCGAACTATGGGGCACCACCTTGTATGCTATAGTATAGTTGATAAGTTAATGTAGCAACAAACATAACTGGGGGGCCTCACAATGTCAATGTGATGTCTTCGTTCCCTGGTGATGATTGCTTCAGGCTGCGGCACAGCATCATGCACAGGCCGGGCATCGTCCCAGAGTTGATATTTTAAAAGGTGATAGGTTTTCTTGGGATTTTACCCTCTGGTAAACTAACAGTTTGCTATTGACAATGGCCATTTATAGTGGGTTTTCCCATTGAACATGGTGATTTTCCATAGTTGTGTTAGTTTACCAGATGGTATTTAGTGTGTCCTACAATGGAGGTACCCGAAAATTGTTGGTTTGTCATGGACAATCCCAATATAAAATGATTTGGGGGTACCCCCATTTCAGGAAACCTCCATTTCATGTTTTGTACAAAAAAACAAGTGGAACATGTTTGATTTAGAGGGAACCAGCAAGAGGGTCCTGCACATGCCGCAGAATGATCTAATAGATTGATGTGGTGGACAAATGGATGTAGAGACTTGGTCAATTGTGGTAATGTCAACCCAGGATTACTAAACCCTGACTGTAAAAAAATGGGGTGGTCACACCCAAAAAAAAGTTGTCTGAATTGCTAGTAAAAATGATGCCCATATGAAATAAAACCGGGGTGTGGTTCGCAAATCCTAGGTTAACATTATCCAACCATGACCCATAGGATCCATGTATGGTATATATATATATATGCTAACATTTGGGGTATATTGATGGTAAATGTTACCATATATAGCATACATGGATCCTATGGGTGATGATTCATCATTTTTTTGTCTCGCATCCTCTTGACCCATGTCCTCTCGCTTTTTTGCTAAGGTTTTTGGGTCTCCGTTGGTTTCGTTGTCCTTTGGGGTGGACCCACAACCCCGATAGCACCTATCAGCAATTTATGGGTAAAGCCCAGTATGACGTCAGTGATTTGTCAGTTTTTTTCACTGTTTTTTGTTGTTCATGCTCCTATGATTGCAACATATTGCAACCAATTTTGATTAGAATCCAGTTTTGGTCGGCTATATGCCATTATGTCTGAACTTTTTTTGAGTTACCCTCTGGTTATTTAACATAGCCATGGAAAATGGCCCATTTATAGATGATTTTCCCAGCTATAAACCTCCATTTATAAGGGATTTTCCAGTTCGCTATGTTAAATAACCAGATGGTAGTTCATATCTTTGGGGATGGATTCTCCCACTTGCCTTTGTCGATGATTTTGACCCTGCCCAAAACCTCTATCCTTTGTAGAAGCTCGCTACCGCAGCTGGGCCGGATGAGGAAAAGTGTGCCCAAAGTTCAGGACAAGTCATGAATCACTGGATTGGTTTTGTTGGGAAAATCTTAACCGGAAACCATGGTTTTTACATGTTTTTACCATGAAGATCATGGGGGTTTCCGGTTCCAATTTTTCCCTTAAACCAACCCAGTGAATGAAGTGAGCCATGTGTGCGGAAATATTTTGGAATTTGGAATTGGGATGTCATCATTGTTTTGGTATATAGAGCGCTATTTTTTACTAGCCATCCAAATTCGTGAGCGCGAAAATTTTGGCGCCATCTCCAATGGTTTCTTCTGGGTTTCGGCTTTCTTTCCCCGCTTCTTATTTTCTTGTTTCTCAGATGGATGTCAACTCCAAGACGCGAGGATTCTGAAACTTTCGGAGTTTCCAAAGCATCATTAAAATGCCATTAAACCCCCACTATATCGACTATATCCCCACTAAATCCTATCAAGCTACATTATATTCACATTAAACCACCATTCAAGCACCATCTCTCCATTCTTTCCGCCATGGCTGGCGCTTTCTTGTTGGAAGAGATGATCTGCCCAGAGGAAGCCGAGGCGATTTTGAGGGCTCAGCGGGGTAGCCCCCGCCGAAATGACAAGGCAAATGATTCAAATGGTCAGTGCACCAAACAAATCCCTACCCTCTGGTTATTTAACTCAGCCATGGAAAATTGCCCATTTATAGATGGTTTACCGTTCTTAAACATGGGGATTTTCCATGGCTATGTTAAATAACCAGATGCTTCCGAATTTCTTCCGAAACGGTAAACTAATTTTGAAGTGTGCCACTTTCTGAACTTGGCCATATTTTGAGGGGATTCTGCCTGAAATTTAGGGCTAAAAAGATAGACCTTAGAAACTTATATAGATGTTGAGGGTGCCCATTCAGACATTGTAGGATGGTTTTTAAGGGACTCCTCTGAACCACCTACACAAAATTATGACTAAGCAAACTGTCCCTTGAAGATGGACATTTGGTGGATATGTATATATAGATTATACACAGTATACAGGCATCCCCAAAAAGAAAGAAACATGTTTCCAAGAGGTTTTATAGATGATGTTGATATATGTTGATGATATTTTATACATATTTGTGGGTTTCCAACTTTCCCACTCTTTTTTTTGGGGGTTGCTAATATATATAGGGACTCTTTTCCGATTCTGAGGAGTCTCCGAATAAGCGAGCATCGACTATGCCATTCATCCAAGAACACGTGGAGGGATAGCCTCTTGAAATCTCACCTCATCACAGCAAACTTGGTGGGGCCCCCCAGTTATAAGTTGGTTTATAAGCCCCAATAACTATAGTATACTATAGTTATAAGATGTTATAAGTACCATAAACCATAGTTATTGGAGTTATAAACCAACTTAGCTATCTAGGATCCGGCTGGTGCTGGTAGATTAATGCTAACATGACTGGGGTTTTTGTTGATGGGATCCATGGCACACCATATTTTTTTCGCAGCACCGAAAAAGGATCCGTCATGGGAACAGGAACATCATTTTCCAAATTTTCCAAAATCCCATTTTGATTACAGGGCTTCACCTTTGTTTCACCTGTGTTTTTGCTTCGTTTTCAGTGTACCACAAAGGCAGCATGACATCTTCGAACGGTGCCCCGAGCCGCCCCTCGCAGTCGTTGCGGAACTTCCTCAGCGACTGTCCTCTCCCCGTGGCGCCTGCCGATGCATTGACCGCCTCCTATTGGGTGCGGAATCCTAGCCATGAAAGTTAAAAAAAAAAACGCTGGGCTGTTGAGTTCTCACCGGGGTTGTGACATGTTATTAACCGATCTGATTATATACATGTATATATATATACATGTATATATATATATTCTACATATATATATATATATATAAATATGATATATATATATATATATATATTTGGGGGGGTTATATGAGCTAGAGGGTTAGCTATGAACCAAGCAGCAGAATGGGATGGGAAGTGGAGGTGCAACATCTGTTTTTTTCCATGTACGGAGCTAGAAGCTGCCATGTTGAAGGCAATTTTTTGGGGACTGTTTCCTGACATTTAGGCCTTACATGGCCTGACCTAGTCCTGAGGTGAGGTACTTCTTGTCATTGAATCAACCTGGCAAAGATCAATGGCTTGGCTGGAAAGATCACCGGAAACCTTTTTGATTTTCCCATGAAATGTAGGGGTGGAACATGGAACAGTCTGAGGCCAGCCCGGAGCTACCTGGCAATCCGGTGGATGAACTGATTGGCCGACTTCGGCGAGCTCCAGGCTTCATGGAGTTTTTGAGGGGTTGAGTAACGTTTTGTCCCCTGAAATTTGGGAATTTCATGGCAATCCGCGGGGGTTCATGGGGGTTTGTTTCATGGGGGTTGGCTTTATTGTTGGTTTGATGCTAGTTTGATGGTGGTTTCGATTTAAACGGTGGATATATCATGGTGGATACAATCACTCCGGATGTTTTGCTGTGCGGATTTAAATACCTCCTTAGCAGGTTTCTATAATTTTAGAAGCCTAAAATGTGTGGTGTTCAAAAATTGAGCACTGCCCGCTTCCAGTTCTTGAACAAACATTCTTGAACAATTGATTGTTCAATTGGAGGAAGCCCTTCTTGACGAACCAACCACTGGGTAAAGGACGTCAGAATAAATGAGTCAACTGCCTGATCTAATAAGTGTGAGAAAACTGACACAGATGTGACGTTGACTCGTCGTGATTTTCACTTATTTTTGGTGACTTTATTCATGCTTGACAGTGCTTGAATGTGACTCGTTCCAATGAAATCAACACATGTATCGAATTATTACAAGCTATGTGCACGGTGACGGTCGCAAACCGATCCAAATGCGGCATTGTCGACCTCGTATATGCATGGTTGGCCTCTGACACCGAAGCTGCACTTTGGTCATCGGTTCCCGTATCGGATTCGTTCCCAATCTTTACTCATCCTTATTATATAATATTCAATACAATTTCCATAACCAATGAGTTTTCGTATCTTCCTTTAGCCTCACAACCAACCATCAACCAGCCGCATCTTTCGAGCAAGTGGTTCTATCCTTGGTTTAAAAAAACACCAGGAAGCAGCTGGTGCTCAAACCACCCGTGACATGTTCGTCAAAAGACGCCAGTTCAACTAACTTATAGCCTTGTAGCTATCTAATTAAATCCCATGAATCCCTAGCAAATCCCATGAAACATCACCATGTTTATCCAGTTTTGGCTTCTAAAATACCCCAAATACACGATTCCGACCTACCATCGCTGCCTCCGGTTGAGGTTTGGCAGATCTCCTGCCAGACAGCGCGGGAGCGGAGTGGTGGTGGCAAGATACCGACAACACGGATCCTCCAAAGGCCCCCTGGTTCACTTTTTTTGGGGTCACTGAAGAACTGAACCAAGGGAAAAAAAAACATGAAACCTCCAAGGTATTGGCCAACATGAACCCCGGTGGATATGGTGGTTTGTTTTTTACGGGCTTTCATGGTGGTTTTGTTTGAAAAAACGTCCTTGAAATTGCGATAGCTCATCCAACGTATTTTCCCCGCGAAAAACGCCCCTATGTTTCCCAGAAGGTGGTGCCCCAGTTCGTTAGCTAAGTTGGTTTATAAGTCCAATAACTATGGTTTATACAATGTGAGGCCCCCAAGATATAAGTTGGTTTATAAGTCCCAGTAACTATAGTTATGAATACCATAAACCATAGTTATTGGAGTTATAAACCAACTTATATCTTGGGGGCCTCACATTGTATGGTTTATAGGATTTATATATGATATATCTATAGTTAATGGAATTATAACCCACTTACTAAGTGGGATGAGCCACCTTGCACTTAGATCGCAGGTCTTCCATACCGACTGCAATCTGGTTCTGCCGCTGGGCTCGGACGTGGCACTGAAGTCCCATCCTGCGACCTGGACGAAGCGACGGCCGCGGGCGGGTGTTGGTAATTTCGCAACACCACGGAAAATGGCGGTTTCACCATGGAAAATGGTGATTTAACCATGGAAAATGATGATTTAACCATGGAAACTGGTAGTTTAACCATGGAAAATGGTGATTTAACCCACAAAAACTAGAAAAAAATATGGGTTTTGCATGATTTTGCGATGTTTTTTAACATTCAAGATGATGATCTAGTTGATAAATGATGTTTGGTTGATGGGATTTTATATATTGATGTGAGTTTCATTTGCCCCGCAACCTCTTAAAATCGATAGAAAGGTCATCGAACTCCCTGGAAACCAATCCAAAAGTGTCATGACAACCACCAGTCATGGTGCCTCAGGGAAAGTGGGCCCCTTTTTTATCACTTGGAATCATGAGAACCTTGGTTCACTTTACCATTGAAGAGCTCAATGATCCAAAAAAAACAAAAACAAAATTGAGATGCAACAAAAGGACTTGAGAATAACTGGCATTAAGTTGTGACGTCACGACGTCATGTCCTTTCCGCGTGGAATTTTGCAGAGAAGCCGCTTGAGATTGTTGGGCATTCAAAGCAGGCCTACTCAACCATTCACCCGAAGCATGCTCTTGAGGATTTATTTGTCCTTGGAATTCTCACTTGACTGTCAATATTAGGGAGTTTCCTAAAATGGGGGATCCCTCAGTCACCATGGGTTAACCCTAAGTCATGGTCATCACGACTGATGTGGGGGTACAATTTCCGGGTCCCCGGAGGCCTAATCGGCGCCGAAAGCGGGCTCCGACCTCATTTTTTTAGAAAGGGAATCATCCACAAAATGGCCCAGTTATTGGACATTTGAACACACATCATATATGTTTTTTCGTTCCACGATGTTCCACGTATTTATATGATTTTTATATGTATTTTTTGTTTCCCAATCATACTTGGGATGATTGGTTGAGATCACGAGCATATTTTGGGGATAGGTTTATACTACCAAGCAGAGATGTATGTGACAATTCCTATGGGGTGTATGACCCGCGATCATGGGCACCATATATATATATATAGAGAGAGAGAAAGAGAGAGACATCCATTTACATCCGAATCTGGCTTTTGTGGATTGTTTTTTACCTTTGAGAATCGTGCCCAATATGGCTATCCTTAGGACTAGCCTTCCCAGTTTCGGAATTATGACTAATTATATCTAATTTTGATATTTTATGCAAAATATTGTGAAATATCATCATAGTCATGCCAGTTCACAGCCCCTTTTTCCTTTTGGAGCATGCAGATCATGAAATCTACCCTCTGGTAAACTAACATAACTATGGAAAAGCACTATTTTTAATGGGAAAACTTACTATTTCAATGGCCATTTTCAATAGCTTTTTCTGTTAGTTCACCAGAGGGTACGCTACTGTACTGGTTGGTGCTTTGGAACATTTTTTATTTTTCCATTTGGAATAGTAACCCCAACTGTTACTCACTCCATCATTTTTCAGAGGGGTAGAAATCTACCACCAACCAGTGTACATCACAGCACTCAGCAGAATTTTCCCTGTGATTTCACCAGGAATGGAGCTCTGTGATGTACTTGACGGACCTGGGTGGAGCGACTGCGATTTTTCACCAGAACGAGGTGGCGCCGACCTGGCGGGGACACATTGGGGAAAGCTTTTGGGACGTTTGAAACTGGAGGAACGTTGTTTAACGGGAATATACGGAATATCACATGCAGTATATATATATATTATATTTATATAATATATATTATGATATATGTATATTATGTATATAATATATATATATATATATTATGTATATATGATATATGTATAATATATATATACATATATATATATATACAAATTATGAGATTTGATGATATTTGATTTTGATCATACTGGTTGGTGAACAACATGGATCTGTATTTTTTTTTTTATTTCGTAAGATGATCAGAGGTGATATGAGCTGATTGCTTTTGGACATGTTGAAACCACCAACTAGTAGTCATGAGTCATGGGTGATGGTTTCATGTGCCTTCATTTGTCAAAGATCATGGCGAGTCTTTGTTGATGTTTGTTGTTCAAGGCGGTGATTTTGTTGCCAAATTTTCGGGGAAAGAGAAAACCTTCAATGGATAGGTTACGCCCAGGAACCCATGAATGGTCCAAGGGTGTTCGTTTTTGCACTTCGACCTCTGAGTTTTCAGGCTATCCATGCAGTAGAAAAAACTCCCGCACAAAAAACTTAATTGTTTTGTCCCAATGTTGAGTAGTATAACCATGTATAACCCACATGATTGCATCTTAATCACTTCGAAAAGGCAAACTTCATCCCAAACGAAGCCTTGGTTTCGCATTGGATCTCCCCAGCAGGTTGGTTCACAATCCCCTCAACACCGTCTGGGAAACGTTTACATAACGAACTGGAAAGATCCACCATTTTTAATGGGAAAATCACAATGTTTAATGGGAAAATCACGATTTTTAATGGGAATATTTTTAATGGCAAATCACCATTTTGTAGCTGGGTAAATCAACTGTAAATTGCCATTTTTAATAGCACACTGTAACAAATTACCAGAGGGTAGATATTGTTATCCCCATAAATCCAAACGGTATTGGAGTTATGTTCACTAACTTTGCGTTCACGAACTAGGGCACCAGTCTGATACGGGGAAAAGGATGGTTGATATCTACATTGTGAGGTGCCCCAACTATGTTTGTTGGTTTGTAAACCCATGAACTAGTTGGATATATCATGATATCTCTATTTATATCTACCGTAAACCATAGAATTCACATAGTTATGTTCACCAACTTCGCTATTGTAAATGGGGGCCTCACCTTGTACTCACATGATGGCATGATTGGGAGTTTGGAGGATCACCCCACTTGCTAACTGGTTAATGGCCTTGGTTAGAAAGTGCCCATTTTGTGGCTTCACCCATCTATAAATGGCTTATAACTAAGGGGATTTCACCACTTACTAACCATAGTTACACGATGTTACACTGCCAAATATCAGTTTTTTTTCAAGTTAACAAAGTGACTAACCATTACTGAAATCTACTAAATAAGTTACCATCTGGTTATTTTACATAGCCATGGAAAATCACAATTTTTAAAAGGTAAACCATCGATTTCTATGGGACATTTTCCATGGCTATGTAAAAAATATCCAGAGGCTATTTGATATCATTTCATCATATTTAATCATGGTCAACTATGGTGTCATTACCCTCTGGTATATAAAGACCCTGGCAGTCACCGGGGTTGGAAGACTAGTTTCCACTATAAATTGGTCATTTTCAGGGTCAACAAGTTAATTTACCAGAGGGTAAATGTTCTTCGCCACTATGGGTTCCTATATCGCTTAGCCTTTCCAGCTTGGCCTTTCCAGGTGTTGGCAGTTTGGCCTCGCATCGGCAGGTGGAAAAGTATAGTTTTGAAACGGGATGTGTAGTACATATCAGTACATGGGATATGAATGGGGATATATGCAATATATGTATAAAATGTATAATATATATATATATATATATATATATGATATGATATGTATAATGAATATATATATATATAATATTTTTATAACTACATTATATATATATGTACAATTAGATGCATATTTAAAATTAGATAAGACTTACACATATATATATATATATACACAACTAGCACTACAATGTTGAGGCCTGTCTGAATATGGAGTATACCTCCAACATCCTCCAACAAACGCAATTTATGGGGACAAGTATGATGGCTTATGGGGTATCCTATGTTCAAACAAAGCTAGATCTTTTTGAAGCGTCACCATGAATTTGGATGAATTTGGATGGTTGAAGCTAGACACATAGGGAATGAAGTCGGAAGCGTTGGGGAAGAAAACGCAACAAACATAATACAACTACGATGGAGATTTCAAAGTTGGAAGACATCAACGGGGAAGTACGCCTATCTGTCAGAGGGAACTAAGCCTGAACTCGCTTCAGCAAAGTTTGTCATAGCTGCTCCGGTCCCCAAGGTCCCCGAAAACATGACCATCTGAAGGTCATCCCAATTGATGGATTTTTCATAGGAATGTCATCGAAGTAAATGTTCTAAATGCGGGATTTTCCAGCGGATTTGCCATGTTTGAGCACACAGTAATAGGGTACTTCTGAATCCTCATGAATCTACGAATCGTTTGGGAAACCAACGAACGTGCAGTCATTATTGTCTTGTCTGAGGGGATGGTCGCAGTTCCACTATATACTCACCGTTGAGGTATAGGCCTATCTCTTTCTTATCTAGATCAGTTTTGGAATGCCATGGGCAATTTTCGGATGTTCATCAGGGTTTTAAAAAAATCTTTCAATCATTTTCAATCCACACCCAAGCCTTTTTTTTCCTAGATCTTTAAGCCCTTCAAAGATCTTCAAAGATCTTCAAAGCTGGTATGGAGGTATCTCTTATTTCCTGGCGCACATTTGCACTGCGTCCTATTTCCCGAAGAGCCTCCTTCCGGTGACAGGACAGGACCGGGGACAGGAAGGGGCTCCTTAGATGCAGTAGATGGCTTGGTATAACATGGTATAACTTAGTTTATAACTTACAACTAGGCTAACTAGAATTTATGCTGGATACATCTAGAGTTGCATGGTTTCATATGGTTTCAAAACCTACAACATACGCGTGCTGCGGTTGTGAAGGGAACTGAGCTCCGCCGTGGCATCCCGCAGTGGCGACATCCCCACGACATCGTCGACATCGTCCCCGAAGTTGGAGGGTTTCATCCGAAAAATGGCACACATTTGTCGCTTTAAAAAATGGTTATCTGGTTGGTGGTTGAAACTGTTACTCAGTCCATCAATGTCTATCATTTATATCATTTTTCAGAGGGGTAGGGTTGAAACCACCAAGCAGTTTGTCATTCGTGGGCTTTAAAAGATGGTTATTTGTCATTTGCGGGCTTTAAAAGATGGTTATGGAGGGTTCCCTGCCCCGTATGATGAATCCCTAATTGTGGTTGAAAGACCATACCTCCCACGCCTCATATTTTCAGTGTATTGACGATTTCCCAATTCACACATCCTGATTTCTGCGCTGGTACTTAAATTCTCGATGTTGTTGCTCAAAGTCCCATTGTTCGTTTTCTAAACCACTTTTAGTTGGATTTACATGGATTTACAATATCCCATAGGATCCATGTATGCTATATATATGGTAACATTTACCATCAATATGCCCCAAATGTTAGCATATATACCAGCACCATGGATCCTATGGGGTTGGATTTACAATATGTTTATTCCCCCTTTCAATGATTACGATGCAATCTGGCCGGAAAATAATGTTTATGCTGAAATAAATGGCTCAATTCTTCAGGTTGTTGGTTTGATGGAAATGGTTGCCAGACAAAAAACAAGCGCAACTGGTTGGTGGTTTGGAACATGAATTTTATTTTTCCATATAGTGGGAATGTCATCATCCCAACTGTTACTCACTCCATCATTTTTCAGGGGGGTAGGTGGAAACCACCAACCAACTATGGAAAATCCCCATTCTTCCCATGGTAAATCCACTATTTCGACTGGGCCATTATTAATGGTTAAATCACAATTTTTAATGGGTAAATCAACTATAAATATTGGACATTTTCAATAGCTTTTTCTGTAAACGTTTACCAGGCCGGGCAAAAATTCGTCAACAACGGCGGGCCATTTTCAATCAGAATCAGAGGATCACACACCCATAGGATCCGTGGTGCTGATATATATGCTAACATGACTGGGGTATATTGATGGGATCCATGTTAGCATATATAGCAGCACCATGGATCCGTCATGGGTATATGATCGATTGTATTGATAATATATATATAATATAATCCATATATTGGGAGTTGTTTTTTTAATCCTACATGTTTCCACTTGTTGGTTACATCTGTTATTTATATCCCCTGATATTTCATGGTATCCCCATGATCTATTTCATGACCAATTCGTTTTTCAGTCGACGCTAGCGCCGACTGTTCGAATGGAAGCAGGATGACGCTACTGATCAACTGGTGGACTCAAAAACCCCATGGATGCAGCGCTTCGGCTCGGTGCCATGGGAATAGCACCATCAATTTTTCAGGATATAACATGATATCTGGGTAAATTATAACGATCTCACTGCGACCTCACTGGAAATCATAGTTAGTAAGGGGAATCATCCCCAAATGGCCTTAATTCAGGTTAGTGAAATATTATAATTTACCCAGATGATATAACATGATATACAAGGTGGTGCCCCCAAGATAGCGTTCATTTGGTTTATAACTCCAATAACTATGGTTCATGGTAGAACTGTTTATCAACCAACTAAAAAAACTGGTTTTTGGCACCACCTTATTTTTTACATGATTTTTTACATAACATAATATTTTACATGATATAATATGATAAGCCCCCAATAATTTTGGAATACTATGGACATTAAATTTATCATATTTTCACTGAAGTGGAAGTGCATCCCTAAGTTTGGCGCACCGTGCTCGGTGAGAATTTCCAGATATATCGCCTCGCTTGAACCGGTTGATGTTTCCGGTGATTTCATAGATTTTTTTAGGCCCCCAAGATATGTTTGTTGGTTTAACAAAAGCCCCAGTAACTATAGTTATAAAATGTTATAAATACCATAAACCATAGTGACATTGGAGTTACAAACTAACTGAACGCTATCGACTGGGGGCCTCACATTCTAGTGGTTTTAACATGTTTTAAGCATCAAACTATGAGGATCTATGGATATCATTGACAAATGATGGTTGGTGAATGATTACAGTAGTTCGGGGATTATACTAAGATATACTAAGCAATATCCAAGAAGGAATCTCGTTACCAGTCAGATTTTGAAAGGGGGATGACACAAGGTTTATCCCATCTAGTTCGATGATTTTCCAGCTAGCCATGTTTGATTACCAGAGTATAACCCCCATTCTATGCAAATTGATATTCCATGATATTCCTACCAGTTCTAAAATCCCATGTGTTCATATATATTCCCCATTTTTTTCACCAGTATTCCTATCCCTAAGCATCCAGCGTAGGTATATATTATATACATTCGCCTTCGTAGGTGATATTTGGCTACATGACCTCTAACAGAGGCTCCGTAGGTGATTTTTGCCTACATCAAATCGACTCTTATTTCCGACAGATTTCGACAGATGCATGCTCACAAGTTGCACAGTTTTTTTCCTCATTCAAGAGCATGATTCAACCGTGGGTGTTTTACCCGGATCAGCCATCGCATGCAAACGCGAAGTTCAAGTGCATTTCCTTACTCCACTCCAGGAATCAACATAACTCAAGGTTGCTAACCATCCCTTGAAAAGAACAAACCATATAAAAAAACAAACTTGTACTTACCAAAGTCCAGCATCGATGAACCCTTCTCGCCAGGGATTTCATAGATCCCATGAAATCTTCGTCACCATAGCAGTGTGACGCGCCTTATGAGCTTTTGTTTGATTCATTGAAGGGGACCCCAACCCTAAACAAAGAGAAAAATAGTCACATATAAATTTCGAACATGATATTAACACTATATTCCTTCAGGGAACGGCATGACTCACGGAAGTCCCGCTGCTCCAGCAAAATCTCCATGTATGCCTCAGGTGTTGAAGATGTTGCCCAGGGTTGCTTTCAGAATTTGTTTGGCCAAGGGTGATGAACCAACCATCACAGATCAATCTAGTGCTGGCATGGTGCATGGAGTTTTGGACGCAAAGGATATCGAACAATCCCACGCCCAAAACAGAGCAAGTTCAGTGCTTTGTATGTATCGCAAAACCTGAGCGTTTCAAAATGTCGCCAGCAAAAATACTCTTCAAAAAAAAGTGTTTGTTCACAATCATAGGTCATGTGGTCAAACATATATTATATAATTATATATAATATATATATACTAGTGCTGGATGCTTAGGGGTTGAAATAACTAAAAATACTCTAAAAGAGTGCATGGCTGGATGCTCCATGCCCGTAGCATAAAGACGTTCTGCCTGCTCTTCGGTCAGGTCAATGGGGCAATTCTCTAAGTCCAAATTCCAATTTGACAATTGGGTCATCATCAAAGAACACAGTCTGAGCTCATCAGTTTGCTGTGAAGCATCCAGCTGCTCGCACAAAGAGCGAAGGCAAACTGCCAAGAAAGAGATCATGATCCGAGTGCCATATGCTTTCAAGCGCAGTTCACCAGGAATTGCATCAAAATGGCCAATGGTGATAAACTGGGCTGCATGCCTAGATATGGTAGAGGTCAGGTAACCCAAAATACACATAGGAATGGAACAGCCTGGGAATCTCAAAATACCCCAAAGAAAATTGATGATTGAATTGCATCCAAAGACTGAATGGAGTTTGCAGTGATCCACTTCCTGAAACGCATGGTGAGCACCTGCACACTGTCCGAAAAGATCCCAAACATGGTTAAAGTAGATGGAGAATTACGAGGTCTTGTAGCCAAAAATCACCTACGAAGTTGAATATAGATGGAATATATCTACTTTAAATACGTACTGGAGCACTACTATCATATAATATAATATAATAATATATATATACACCGTATACTGATGCTGGATGCTTAGCTAACCCATGTAGTTTCATGGCCGACCTCGAGCTGCTCCGAAAGTGTTGGCGCTGGCGATGTCCTTCCTTCGCCTTGGCATTTGCTGCATGGCCGCATGGGATCTGAAGGCTGCAGTTGTCTTGGTGGGCTAATCCCAATATAGTGGTGAGATATATTTTTAGGGGGGAATATCACCTTAGAAGGTTCAAGCGAACAAGTAGGACAGGGTTGAAAGTTGTTCAAAAGATTACCTCATCAAATCCCAAGGTGCTGAAGTAACCAAAACTCATGAGGCAAAGTAAGGCACCACCATTGCAAAAATGTGCTAAGCCCAAGTGCAACGTATGCATTAGGCAATAGCGAATCATGGTGGGATCAAAGCCCACTGTGAATGCCAGGGGGTTGATGAAACCCTTCCTGAATTGCAAGCAGAAAGGTCATAACAATATCCCGGTGAACACTTGGAATTCCTTTGCCACCAACAGAGGGTGATAAAATGTAACCCACAGCCAAGGTTCAAGGCCTTTGTAAAAAATTGAGCTGTGCTCATCCGGGGAATTCCTTCGAAATTGCCATAGTACCTAAGCTTGTGGCATACATTCATATTTTAAGCTGTTGAGAGGTAGAAACTTAAACAAGTTTTGGGAAAATGTTTATTAATATTACTGCCAGGAAATGGTAAAACAAAATAGTGGCCCTGAGTGCAAGCCACACATTGGGGCCATACCCTGCTGTGGCGAAGCATTTGAAACATATGCCGTATTTCCAAGTCCAATGTCGTCGTAGGTTTCAAGATTCCCTGTGCCATTTCCAATCTCCCCTGATCAGGGAACTTTGTGTCAAATACCACTGTTATTATTATTGATAACCTCATTGCTGTTGGGAGCTATGTACAAAAAACATTGATGTATATTGAAAATTCTATGTTTAATACACCCCACCGGATAGATGCCAGAGAATATGGCCCACCATGGATTTTGGAACCAGCTTTGGCTGCACGAGCTCCAGTCAATGGTCGTCCCTCCATATCCACCGATGGAAAGGCACCACCATATGCCACCTAAGTTTCTCCAGACATGGTCAAACACCAAGATTGGGCCTTCCTTTTTAAATCCCCGCGCTAACCTAATATATATATATATATATAAGTTGTTGCCAATTACGAGATAGACCCAAACACAAACAACTCCCAACATTGTGGTTGATAAATACCATCTCCAAATTAATGCTAGGTTTATTTTGGGTTCACCACGGTAAGTTTCTCCACCCAGCAGCATTCAGACTCCAAACGATCACCCTGTACAAAGGGTCCAAGGTGGCAGGTCCTAGACATAGCTCACATCTAAATGTTGCCAGAAGAAGTCGGTTCACATCCAGACCTGGCAGGGCGTGAAACATCCCTGACCTGAAACTTTTTTTGGGGATTGGATACATTTGGGGGTGATGTCCACCATAATATTACCATTTCAAAAAAAAATATGGTTGGCCTCGTGTGCGAATGTCATTGGACTGGCTTCTCTTAGCACGATCAAGACACACCAGGCTAATACAAATGATGATGATCTTGGCTCCTCCCAAAGTGTATTTTGCATCGTCTCCGCTAATAGCCACAGGGTTGTGAATGCCATCATCGGTGGCAGGATGGTAAGGCTTGAATTGTTTCCATCTGTCCCAGAAATCTTTGATGATATTTGGGGCTATGTAGAACCGGCCATTCTCAGCAAGCCAACTGAGCAATTCGTGCGGTAAGATCACTGGAACTTTCATCGTTGTGGTTTTGGTCCGATCATGTGGATCTTTGCATGGGACTTCCACCATCCAAGGTTCCTCAACACAGTTTTGGGCAGTAAATAGGTGTAATCTATTTTTTCAGGAAAATATAATATTTTGTTGGATATGATTCTTAAAGAATAACAAACTGTTAATATCATGCTAAGCATCTACTGGAAGAGAAAGAGCTCTATAAAGGTCCCGTTCACAGTTTCCAGGGTATTTCCCATGACAACCGATTCGCGCAATCAAGCGTGTAACCCTCGAACATGATCCATTGCTTTCCAACACCATTGACTGCGCAGCTTCTTGCAATTCATAGCAGCTGGTTGCACCCCGGCCAAGGCTTGCTAGAAGCGTGTCGGCAAACGGCATCTCGGACTCATCAATCCGACCTGCGGTTGGGGGCTGGTGCACAGAAATATATAGTACAAGTTTCAACCCCATGTGTTCTTCTCAAGCTTCTTGATTTGAACCAGTTGATATGAATAATTGGATAGGATTAAGATTTTAATCGAAGAAACTTCTAAAGAAAGACCTCCAGTTCAAAGTCCATTGTAATATGCCCAAGTCCATGCATTCCATTTTTTCTCCCGAAGTTTGCGCACAGAATGTAAATCGTATTTGGGCAAAATACTTGAGCTTGGCTGCAGAGGTTTGGTCCTAGCTCTCAACCAGCTGAAGTGACATGCCAGAAGTGACAATGT